TCTCTCCCCCCCCTCTCTCCTCCCTACAGCATGTGGATCAGGAGCCTTGGAGTAAGGGCAGGAGAAAAGTGCAAGGGCAGGAGAATGGAGCAAGGGCAGGAGAATGGAGCAAGGGCAGGAGAATGGAGCAAGGGCAGGAGAATGGAGCAAGGGCAGGAGAATGGAGCAAGGGCAGGAGAATGGAGCAAGGGCAGGAGAATGGAGCAAGGGCAGGAGAATGGAGCCCACCCCCTCCTCTCACCTCCTCTCCTCTCTTCTCCCCCGCAGAAGCACTTCACCCCGCAGAAGCACGCCTTGAGGAACGGAAGGAGCAACCCCCACCTCACCCAACCCCACCCAACCCCACCCCACCCCACCCCACCCCACTCAACCCCACCCCACTCACCCCCCCCTGCCCCCCCCCCCCCCCTCTCCCTTCCCCAAGCAGCATCACGCCTTGAGGAGAGTGCAGTCCCCACCCCCACCCCCACTCCCAACCCCATCCCCACCCCCACCCCCACCCTCACCCCCGCCCCCACCCCACTCACCCTCCCCATCCCTAGCAGGTTGCAGCATAACAGTACTCCATTTGGCTATGGAGGGTGGAGGTAAGGAGGCGTTGAGGTAAGAAGGACCGGGGCGGTGGGTGGGTGGGGAGAGCATAGGAGCAAGCCTGCAGCTCACTCCCTTAGGGGCAGCTCCCTCTGTGGTGCCTGCCTTGTTGGTCGGGTGTGGTCAGTGGAAAGTGTGTGGCACGGCAGTCGTTCCTCAAGTACCAACACTAGTGGCGTATCGTATAATGGAACCGGTCAGAGCCGTGCGCGCCGGCTCTGGTTGGGAGTCCCCTCCTACGACGCTGAATGTGGCGGGATTTGAGTCTTGGGCCGCCCGTGCATTTTCCACTGCCACACTTTGACAGCAAGGCACAGCCATGGGGAGTGCTGTTTCCAAAGGGGAGTGGGTTGCATGCTGATCCTAGTGCTTGGAAGGGGAAGCTGGGGGTTGGGAGGGGGGACTGAGACTTCCCAGGTGAGTTATTTGATGGGCAAAGGAGGGGCGTCCCCAACGATCACTGTAAGTTGAGTGAGAGGGAGAGCAGGTGGCTGAAACCTTCAGTGTGATTCAAACGAGAGGCAACGGAGGGCGTCAGCACATGCCACTGTAAGTTGGGTGAGAGGGAAAGGGGGCCTGAAACCCCCTGGGTAGTTGAGTGAGAGGGTCTGAGACCTTTAGTGTGAGTCAAAGGAGAGGCAACGGAGGGCGTCTGGAATCACCACTGTAAGTTGGGTGAGAGGGAAAGGGGGCCTGAAACCCCCTGGGTAGTTGAGTGAGAGGGTCTGAGACCTTTAGTGTGAGTCAAAGGAGAGGCAACGGAGGGCGTCTGGAATCACCACTGTAAGTTGGGTGAGAGGGAAAGGAGAAAGGGGGCCTGAAACCCCCTGGGTACGTTGACTGACAGGCTGAAACCTTCATTGTGAGTCAAAGGAGAGGCAACGGAGGGCGTCTGCAATCACCACTGTAAGTTGGGTGACAGGGAAAGGAGAAAGGGGGCCTGAAACCCCTTGGGTACGTTGACTGACAGGCTGAAACCTTCCGTGTGAGTCAAAGGAGAGGCAACGGGGGCCTGAAACCCCCTTTGGTACGTCGAGTGAGAGGGGGGGGCAAAGGAGGGCGTCTGCTCGTGGCGAGACGAGCAAGGGGGCCTGAAACCTCCCTGGGGAGATGCTCCAACTAATGTGAGAGCACGGCAGGGGAGAGGCCGAATCTCTCGGGGTAAGGCTTGTGAGGGGCAGGGGGGGAGAGGGGGGTTGTAACCCGCAGGTTAAGGCGAGCTAGGGGCAGGGGACCCCCCCCTCTCTGCTTTTGGTTCGCCTTATCCTGAGGGGTTCAACCCCCCTCTCTTGCCTCTCAAGTGCCTTACCATGGGAGTTTCAGCCCTCCTCCCATGTCTTGCCCTCGTGTTACCTCGGAGCTTCCACCCCCTCTCCTCTACCCCTCTCCCTCCTTACACTATCCTCTGCCCTTGCCTTTCCTTTAGGGGGCTGGAATCCCCCTAGGGCTTGGTCCTGGGGGTTGATGCTCCCTTAAACCAAGGTGAGCTGAAACCCCCAGGGGTTTTTGAGTGGGTGGCGAGAGCAGGGAAGGGAAGAGGAAGGGGGTTGAAACCCCTAAGGTAGGTGAGTCGAAGGGAAGGGTTGAGCCTAGAGCTCCACATGACAGGTGGCAAATGATGATGCCCCACGTGTTGCCTGATGCCATAGGCCCTATCATGTGGGCTCGTTGGTTCAACCCTTGCCGAAGTGTTGAGAGGGGGCCTCAATCCCCCAGGGTATGTTGAGCAGAGTAAATGGGGCTGAAACCCCCAGGGTATTCGAGTGAGGGCAGTGGAGGGGGGCTGAAACCCCCAGAGTAAGTTGAGTGAGAGGGAGGGGGCGTGGCCCCAGGGTAACATGAGTGAGAGGGAGGGGGCCTGAAACCCCCAGGATATTCGAGTGAGGGTAGTGGGGGGGACATACAGGCTGAAGCAATAAGGAGAGTTAGTTGGTTGAGGGAGAGTGAATGGGGCCTGCAAGCACCACAGGTAGTTTGAGCTAGAGGGAGAGGGGTCGGGGGCTGCAAGCAGCAAAGGGTAGGTTGAATGAGAGGGAGTGGAGAAAGGGGGACTGAAATCCCCTGGTTGATTTTCGTAGGCAATTTGGAAGGGAAGGTGGAGGGCGGCTGCAAGCACCAAAGGTAGGTTGAATGAGAGGGAGTGGGGAAAGGGGGCCCCTCAAACTCCCCGTGTGTGCTGGATGAAGTGACAGGAGGGGGTTGAAACCCCCAGGGAGATTCCTCGAGGCGCCATGGAGGGAGCTGCAACCACCAGGGTAAGTTGAGTGCGAGGGGCAGGAGGGGTTACCAGCCAGCCCCCCAGGGAGTAACAATGGAGGGAGGTGCCTGCAACCGCCTGGTTGATTTGAGTGATAGGGAGAGCAGAAAGGGGGCCTGAAGCCCCTGACGTGAGTTGAGTGATAGGGAGAGCAGAAAGGGGGCCTGAAGCCCCTGACGTGAGTTGAGTGAGACAGAGAGGAGCAAGGGGGCTGGAAACCCCTGGGGTGACAGGGATCTGCCTGTGTACAGGTCTTCTCACGCTACAGCTGGCTGGCTAGGCCTGAGAGTGCAGTGCTTGGAGGAGGGCAGTGCAGCGCAGGGCAGGGCAGTGCAGCGCAGGGCAGGGCAGTGCAGCGTAGGGCAGGGCAGTGCAGCGCAGGGCAGGGCAGCGCAGGGCAGGGCAGGGCAGTGCAGCGCAGGGCAGTGCAGCGCAGGGCAGTGCAGCGCAGCGCAGCGCAGGGCAGGGCAGTGCAGCGCAGGGCAGTGCAGCGCAGGGCAGTGCAGCGCAGCGCAGCGCAGGGCAGGGCAGTGCAGCGCAGGGCAGTGCAGCGCAGGGCAGAGCAGCGCAGGGCAGCGCAGGGCAGGGCAGCGCAGGGGTGTCAGGGATCTGCCTGCCTGTGTGTGTGCCTGTGTGCACGGCAGGGTAGCAAATGATGATGCTGCATGCAGTGCCTGATGCCTCCCTGCCCATGTGTTAGTCCGAAATGTTGTTTCTGGAGTTTTCATGGGGCTCTGAGCGCCAGAGCTCTGAACTTGAAATACTCGGCCATGAGGCGAGTTACTCGGCCATGAGGCGAGGGAGGGGGGGCTGCTGCGCCCACCAGTGTAAGCTGAGTGTGAGGGAGGTGAGAATGCGGGCGTGAAACCCCCTGGATGAGTTGAGTGAGGCTCCAAGGAGGCGTACTGCAGTAAGCAGCAGAGTAAGTTGAGTGAGGGGACAACAGAGAATGGGGGCCTGAACCCTCAGTTTAAGTTGTGTGAGGTGCAACCCAGGGGGGGAAACCCCCTGGTTAAGGTGAATGAGAGGGCAGGGTGAGATTTGTGTGAGGTGCAAGCGAGGAGGGCTGACCCCCCCTGGTTAAGCTGTGTGAAAAGGTGGGGATCTGAAACCCCCGAAGCAAGTTGAGTTAGGAGCAGAAGAAAGGGGCCACAGCAACCACCAAAGTAAGTTGCGCGAGGAGGCGACGCGGGGGGCTGACCCCGGAGCTTCAGCCTCCCGTGTCTTTCCCATGCTTGCTTGCCTGATGCCCCTAACGTGGTTCAGTGGAAGATTTTGCCTGATGCTGTGCGGTTCTGTTTTTGAGGCGACTCAAAAAAAGATTTTGCCTGATGCTGTGCGGTTCTGTTTTTGAGGCGACTCAAAAAAAGATTTTGCCTGATGCTGTGCGGTTCTGTTTTTGAGGCGCCTCAAAAAAAGATTTTGCCTGATGCTGTGCGGTTCTGTTTTTGAGGCGCCTCAAAAAAAGATTTTGCCTGATGCTGTGCGGTTCTGAGAATTCTCAAAAACACCCTGCAAAATCAGTGGAAGGGGGTAAGGGGGGGGGGTCTAGCCCCTACAGTGAGATGGTGGGTGAGAGGAAGAGGATGGCGCTAAGCCTTTAGAGTGAGATGGTGAGTGAGAGGGGGCTGAATTCTTTCAGTGAGATGGTGGGTGAGAGGAAGAGGATGGGGCTAAGCCTTTACAGTGAGATGGTGAGTGAGAGGGGGCCCTTTCAGTAAGATGGTGAGGGGGCTGAACCCTTTAGTAAGATGGTGAGGGGGCTGAACCCTTTAGTAAGATGGTGAGGGGGCTGAACCCTTTCAGTAAGATGGTGAGTGAAAGGGGACTGGACTTTTTTAGTGAGATGGTGGGTGAGAGGAAGAGGGGGGGGGCTAAACCTTTACAGGAGGGGGTTTTAGTTACATGGTAAGGCAAGAGGACGGGGCAGGGCCCATGATTGGTTGTGGGGCGCCCTTGGATGACGTAATAATTTCACTCGAGGGGGTGAGAGAGACCCACGTGGTTGAGACTAGCAGGGGTGAGACCCGTGGGGGTGAGACCATAGGGGGCTGAGACAGAAGGGGGTTGAGACCAAGGGGGTGAGCAAGAGACCATGCGGGGGTGAGACCTCAAGGGGGTTATGGCAGCTCGGTTGCCTCAAACCAGACTGCATCACCCAACCCAAGTCAAACTCAGCACTGGTTTATGGCAAGAACGACTACATGGAGGCGAATTTCCAGACCGTATGTTGGAGTTGCAAGGAATCGCATTGAACTCTGGAATATTATTTTCCGCGCCGTGCAAGTGAGTTGCATGAAGGCTATGGAGGGTTGTAGGGGTGGTTGACGTATCACAACACTAGAGGGGTAGAAAATTGTATCAGCAGAGATGAATTATGTTTCGTCTGCTGTGTATCTTGTGAAATGTGAAGGAATTGTACCATACGAATATCCTGGAATTCTCCTATTAAGATCCTTAGGTGAGGGCAGCTGCTGCGAAGTGTTTGCACGAGATTTATGTCAATGGATAGAATGATAACGCGATGTACACTGTGCGTGTGCTTGGCGCGCAATGAGTCACCTTGGGATTGGAAAATTGCGCGTGACTGACGGCTGATGGACGGATGACGCTGGCGAGCCGACACCCATTGGTTGTTTCCAGCGTGTGGCCCGCGGTTCGCGGCAGATTCAACCACAGAAACCAACATCGAGGCGGCCCACCTGGGGAGCCAGGCAGCCCCAGATTTCACCTCGCGTGTGGTTTGGTTTGGTGGTTTCGAGGATGCGGCGTGGTGCCGCGTGGTGTCGCGTGGTGGTGATGGTTCACCTGTCAGGTTCTCGGGGCTGTCTTGATTCACGCTTCACAGCTCCGCTCACCACCACCACCAGCAGATTACCTAAGAGCTTGCAGATTCAAATCCAGTCATGTCCAGCGTTTGTTCTGCTTCAAGAGGTTGCTCATTGCTTCGATATCAGTGCTATTCTGCTTCAACAGCTAAAACTTATTCAGCAGCTTCCTCAATCTGTCATTTTTTTCGACCTTCCCTCAACATCAGCAGCAACGCTATCGTACCATACGGCACTGGCTGCACTGCCTCGCTTGTTCCGGCATTGTGTTAGTCCGAGCAGAAAATCCGACGCCGTAGAAGCACGCTTAGAGCTGAAGCACGCTTAGGTGAAGCAGAGCTGGACATTACTATGTCGTCCACTGTTTCTTGCTCCCTCTCGTCTCTCGCCGTCTCTTCTCCTAACGCGGCTGAAGCATCCAACATCTCTCCGCTAAACGCATCCATGGAATTCCCTGTCAAGACGCCTTTCCGGAATCCGCTGCAGCATCCGGCAACACCGTCCCCGTGTACATTTCCACCGCACCCAACCGAGCTGAACCGCCGTTTTCCGCTCCCTACTTCTCTCGCCACGGCAGCCGGCTACTTAACCGGCAGGCCGGCTTTTATCAAGCGTTACCGTGCCAGGCTGAATCCTTCAGCGACGTCAGCATCCTCCCGCGACACGCTGGTTACCAAAGCTGTTCGCGAGCACCATCAAGACTCACCAGTACATTCAGTCGGACGGCAGACACATTTTCGCTCACACTCGCTCGGACGGGGAGGAGACCTCGCTATCAAGAACCCTTCCGTAATCGAAGAAGGTCGAACGGTTGTCTCTCCAACAACTGACGCAGCGCCGCCGAACGGATCCCACGAGGATGGCCCAGCCACGCCACCGGAATCTGTTCGCTCGGTCGCCAACGGCTGGGATGAGCTGGATAACTTGGAGGATCTGACGGTGAGGCGGAGCCCGCGGAGCGGCGGGGGAACAGGGCGGGGGAGAGGAGGGGCGCGGAGGAGCGGTGGAGTGCGGTACCAGGTCGCGGAGGAGCTACGGCGGCAGCACCGGGAGCGGTATCAAGAGACGCAGCAGGGGCGGCAACAGGGGGAACGGTACGAGGCGGAGCAGGTTCCGCAATACCGGGAAAGGCATCCGCAGCAGCGGCAGCAGCAGCAACGGGAGCAGCAGCGGCGATACGCACAAGCGGCGCCTGCTCTTGAGCCGGAGGTCGTCTTCGGGGAGGATAACGAGGGCAGCGAGGAATGGAGGCGAGCAGCGGGCCGCGTGTGGGAGTGGATAGCCGTGAAGAGCGGAGCTGGCGCCTCCGGCGGCGGCGGCGGCGGTGGCGGCGGTGGTGGAGCGGGGCGAGGAGCAGCACGGGCTGCGTCGGCCCTGGGTTGGTCGTTCTTTGGGCCGGTGTCGGCGAATGAATCTTTCGCGGGTAACCATTCGCCCGGTTCCGAGGGAGGCTTCGCGGATCTGCTGCTGCTCGCGCTCTTCCGCGTCGCCCGCTTCTTCCGCCGAGCTGCAGCGGCGCTCAGCGCCGCTATTGTCGCCGCGCTGCCGTCGACATTCCAGACGACTCTGGTGAGCCTCGTTAAACGAGACGTGCGAAGCAACGTGCATTGTCGTGAGTCCAACACTGATGCGTGGGTGATGCAACACTGATGGTGGGTCAAAAGGCGACGCAGCGTTGTTGATTAGTCCAAGATTAATGCGTGGCCACGTTTACTTCCCGCTTCCCGTCCGTTTTACTTCCCCTCCCATCCTCCTCCTCCTCCGTGTGTAATGAGTCGATTTTGGAGTCGAGTCAAAACGTGTGCAATGAGTCGATTTTTGAGTCGACTCAAAACGTGTGTAATGAGTCGATTTTTGAGTCGACTCAAAAATCGACTCATTACACCCGTCCGTTTTACTTCCTCTCCCATCCTCCTCGTCGTCCCATACTCAGCTTTTCCTCACCTTGTAACCTTGTCGTCTCATAATGCCTCATAATGCCTCATAATGCCTCATAATGCCTCATAATGCCTCATAATGCCTCATAATGCCTCATAATGCCTCATAATGCCTCATAATGCCTCATAATGCCTCATAATGCCTCATAATGCCTCATAATGCCTCATAATGCCTCATAATGCCTCATAATGCCTCATAATGCCTCATAATGCCTCATAATGCCTCATAATGCCTCATAATGCCTCATAATGCCTCATAATGCCACATAATGCCTCATAATGCCTCATAATGCCTCATAATGCCTCATAATGCCTCATAATGCCTCATAATGCCTCATAATGCCTCTGTTTCATAACCTGCTTGATTTGTCCCTACCCCTGTTCGCCCTGTGCCTTCCCCTGTCGGCCTGCAGGTGAAGCCAGTGGTGGTCGGCGCGTTGCTCCTCTCAGGATTTTGTGTGACTCGGGGTCTCACTATCTGTCTGTCCTTCTCCCCTGGTCCCCCTGTGACCTGTCCCTCCCTTCCCCTCATCGCCTGCAGGTGAAGCCAGTGGTGGACGGCGCGTTGCTCCTCTCAGGCGTGTGGCTGCTGCGAGGCCTCTTCGAAGTAAGCCATGCCTGCTGCCGACGCCCCTTAAGATTCCGCTGTTCTTTTTCAACTGAAGGAAATCGGTCTTTCTTGTCCCTGCTGCGAGGCCTCTTCGAGGTAAGCTATGGTTGCTGCCGACGCCTCTCAAAGCTCCGCGCTTCTTGCCCCTTGCTCCTATCAGCCGAAGGATATCAGCCTCACTTGCACCGCACCTCGTGCGGCTCGTGCCTCCCTCCCACCTGCTCCTGTCTCCCTGTCCCACGGCTCCCCCCGTCGCACTCGTTTGGGCCTTTCCACGTCCCCCCCCCTTCATAACACCTTTCACTCTTCCCCTTCCTGCACCCCCCATCTGCAGGTCACCTGGCGCCTGGGCTCCATCGCGCTTCTCTCCCTCCTCCCAGCGCTCGGCGCTATGACCCTCCTCTCCTCCGCCAACGCCCCGCGCCAACCACACACCGCGCCTTTTCCCGCGCACCAGCGCGCTCCCCCATTCGCCTCCGCCCCTCCTCCCCCTCCCCCCTCACCGCCAACCCAGAACCGCAACTGGTCCCCCACTTCTGGCTTCGAACGCAGCCCGAATAGGTTTGCTTCTACCGGAGCTGATTATAGAGCGTACGGAGATAACGCATCATGGAGCGAGTTCGATGGGTATACGGCAGGGGAGGGAGTTGGGAGGCGCAGCGGGCGGTATGAGCGGTGGGAAGAGGTGCGCGACGAGGACCTAGGCTTGGGATATGCACCGAGGAGGGGCACTGCAAGTAGCCCGAACCTTGCAGCTGCAGAAATCAGTACGTGGGAGGAGGTCAGTGATGAGGATCTGGGCTTGGGGTATGCACCGAGGAGGGGCACTGCGAGTAGCCCGAACGCTGCAGGCACTGCCACTGGCACTGTCCCTGGCACTGATCTAGCAGGCTTAGAGAATGCCCCTGAGCGTCGCAGCCCCGCAGGTGGTTCTGAGAATGCTGCTGCTGCTGGTGCCTCTGCTGTGGGTGCTTCTGCTGGCAGTGCCTCTGCTGCGACCGCAGGCTGGGCGTCCAATGTACATAGTTCCGGTAGGCCTGCTGGGGCGCCTGCGCATGATGCAGGGTCGAGGCCAGTGCGGGGTGAGGCAGGTGGGCCGGCTGGCCTTGGTGTGTCCGCACATGGTGCAGGGTCGAGGCCAGTGCGGGGTAACGCAGGTGGTTCAGCTGGGCTTGGTACGCCTGGGCATAGCGTAGAGGGGAAGAGCAGTGCTGCTGGGAGCAGCAGAAGGGGCGGTGTTGTAAGCAGGGTCGTAGATGGGAGCGGTAGCAGGGGTATGCGTGTGTACGAGTGCTGCAACGGCACCTGCACCTGCGCCGCCTGTGTAACGCCAGCGTTCCTTCAAACCGCCCCTGGCAGGGGCAGAGCCGTCGGTAGTGTGCCAGCAGTTGACAGGGCGGAACAGGGTGTAGGAGCTGCAGCTGCTGACATGAAAGCATGGGACGAGGCTGTTGTGTCTGCTGCCCCTCCTCCTGCCGCTGCCACCACATGGGACGAGGCTGTCCCTACTGTTGTCGCTACTGCTGCTTCCGCCCCCTCCGCTCCTTTCACTGCTTCCACTGCTCCTAGCATCATCGTGGGTAATCACGAAGTGGCCTCTGGTTCCCGTGCGTCAGGCAACTACTTTCCACCGGTGCTGAATCCTGTGGCCCCGGTGCTGAATCCTGTGGCCGTCAGTGATGCCACAGCGAGGCTTGAAGCCATCAGATCCGACCTCAAACGCCACGTGGCGGCTGAAGCTGCATTCTCTGCTCCCGCTCCTGCATCTGCCCCTGCATCTGCAGTTCCTTCTGCCGTCGCTCGTGTTGCCTTTGGCAGTGCTGCCAGGGAAGCTGCTTTCCGTCCCCCACCTGCAGCAGCAGCAGCGCCATTCGCTTCGTCTGATCCTGTTTTCGTGGACAACGGAGAGGGCAGGGTTGATACCCAGAGTGAGCGCAAGCCCCTGGTGGGACTGGGGAAGAATTCCCTGCTGATTGCAGATGACTTGAATGTGGGCGACTTGAATGAGGGGGATGATTTTATCCCACTGCATGATCTGCACCGAGAGGACGATCTGACCCGAGAGGACGATCTGAACCTCAATGCGGTGTTCCTGGAGAACTTCTGTGAGTGGCCGCGCAGGCGAGTGGCTGTGGCTGCTGCTGCTGTGGATTCCAGGCCGGACAGGGAGGGGCCTCTTCCTGTTAGGGGAGCAGCTGTGGTAGGCAGAAGGAGGGCCGTGACGCACACTGACGGGGTGCAGCCAGGTGAAGGGCGGTGGCACGCCCAGGCTGTAGAGTCCATGCCAGACAGGGAGGGGCCTCTTCCCGTGAGGAGAGCAGCTGTGGCACGCAGGAGGATGGCCGTGACTCACACTGACGGGGTGCAGCCAGGTGAAGGGCGGTGGCACACACAGCCGTCGCTCCAAAGCAGCCCTGGCGGTGGGATAGGAGAGCGTGCTGCCTTGGGAGGAGCAGAGGGGCGTCTGGGTGGGTATGGAAGGAGGGAGGAACTGACGGGGGAAGCATCCAGGGAGCAGGGAGGGGGGTCCAAGTCGGTTCCAGGGGTGACTGGCTTGGGGCTGAGCCTGGATTCGTTTGGGTTGGATTCGCTAGGGCTGGATGCGCTGGGGTTTGACGCGTGGCAGGCGTTCATGTGGGCCTCGGACCGCATCTACGGCAGCAGCTATGGGGACTACAGCTTCCACCGCAGGCAGGGGGGAACAGCAGGGGGAGCAGCAGGGGAAGGACAGGCAGTGCCGGGAACAGAGCGAGCACAGCAGGCAACAGGCATGCAGGGAGGGTCGTTCAGGGGGGGTCAAGAGTTGGGCTGTGACGGTGGGGGGGTGAGTGCCAGGCATATGGGGGTTCTGCCGCTGGCGATTTCTCAAGGAGAGGCGCAGCAGATGGCTGGGGGGTTCAATACGTGGTCAAGTAGCTCGAGGCGAGGGAAGCAGTCAGAGTGGGACTTTGACCTGCACAGCATGCCTTGAATGTACTCAACCACATTGCCAGGGGTCGCAGATGCTGTGGGGGTGAGGGGTTGAAAATGGCTGTAGCCACCTCAGCTACTTCACACCTGGTGGTTGGGTGGTAGGTTACTTTTTTTGTACATTCAACTTAGCAGGAGAGTCAAGGTCGAGGCTTCTGTTAGCAGGCAATCCTTTTTTCGTGGCACTTAATAGGGAAGGCTCGTGCTGCTTGAATGCAAACGAGCAGAAGTCATCAGGGCTCTTGCCTGGCTTATCGTAGATTTTTTCCAGTGGTCTCTAGATTTTGTTGTTTTTAGTAGATCGTTATATGCTTGAATGACTGCGTATAAGATTGCTCCTAGTACATTTGTAATGGAGACAGTGATGTAAGAATAGCCTTGTACTTCCGTTATTTTGCCGCCTTCAGTGTGGCACCCGCGGGCGGTCACAGTAGCGAATGTTACTAAACCAACCCCGAGGGACAAAAATGCCAGAAACACATATGTCAGTCAGGCTTCAGGCAGAGGCGGCTTGTATTGTCAGGGCGTGTCCAGCTCGTACGTTTGATTGCGATTGGGTGAGGTGCCTCACGGTTAAAAAAAGGCAATAAGAAATATAAAACGGTTGGGTAGGGTCTCGATAAAAAAAAAACGTACGCGCTGGACACGCGCTGGACACGCCCAGTAGAGGGCGGCCAAAGTAGAGTATTGACACCAGCTAAGCTTAGCTGACGTCAACCACCCGCAAAGCTCGACATCGGAGGGGGACGTCAAACCTTGCGCGAAATCCTCGGTCATGTACAAGGTGTCGAATTCTGCCCAAACAATGATGCGCACGGAAATTTTCGGCAGGGGCAAAGCAACAACTAAAAAACACAAGCTGACACGTGTTACCACATTTACAACATGACATTCGAACAGTGGTGGCCAAAATACGCACGTGACGCAGGCGCCCTCGCCCCTCCTTCCTTCGCGAGTCCCCTTTGTTTTCGCCGTGTCGTAATTGGTGCGTTGTTGGGTCCAACGATGCTTTTTGAACATTTGTTTTTCTTGCCCGCTCGTTTGTTGAAAGAAAAAACGCGTTTGATGTCAATCGTGATTACGGGGTTTCGGGAGCCCTACTTTGGCCATCCCGGAAATCGCCAGTGTAGCGTCTACAGTGGCGGTAACCCGCTTTGGGAACCCCGACGTCCCACCTGCGCTACTTTGGCCATCCCCTAAGCAGCTTGTCCCTGACCTGAGTATTTCTGTCAGGCACTCCCTCCAAATCTTCTACACATTCTGTCTAGAAACCTTCGTTTTCGTCTAGCACCCAGCCATCAGGAATGGATAGGACGTGCTTGAATCATTCGATAGGCGGTGGTGTTTGGCGAATAGGCATATCTTATGGTTCCGGTTCGTAGTGCAGATGCATTGATTCGGACGCGCGTGAAGCAGTTTCGATTACGTAATGGCGTCAGGCGGATGAGCCTTGTCAGGAGGTTCCTCCTGACAGGCATTTCTGTCATAGAATCGCTGCGAATCTTCTATGCAGTCCAGCTCAGGGAAAAACGGGCGACGCTCCCGGTTGCTCAGGGTCTAGAATTTCTGTTATAGAATCCCTGCGAATCTTCTGTGCAGAATTTCTTCAGGCCTGCGTCGAGCACCCAGCCTTCAACAGTGGACAGGACGTGCTCCAAACGAGTGATCTCGTCAGGCGGCGATGGCTTTTGGATTGTCGTTTTCGACCGTTCCGATTTCGTAATGTAAACGCACTGATCCGGACGCGTTTTAAGCGGTTTCGAGTTCCACAATGGCGTCCGGCGGAGGAGGAAGCGGGAACAGCAGGCCATTAGCGTTCTTAGAAGACATGAATCTCCCCGCGCCGGAAGCGGCGGAGGAAGACCGCGGTGGAGCATTTCCCGCGCATCCGCTTCCGCAGGCAGCTGTTTCCGCAGTTTCCGCCGCTTCCCCAGCTGGTTCCGCGCAGGCTATGACCATTCCGCCATCCGCGCAAACTCCGCTTGCGCCGGCGCCGTTCTCCGCGCAGCCTCCCCCGTCCCTCGTCGCGCCCTATCCCGTGCGACCGTCCGCGTATCCCGCATCAGCAGCCACCCCGCTGCTTTCCATCCCCGCGTCCTTTCCGCCCGCTTATTCCGCCCAATCCGCTTCCGCTGGTTCCGCTCTCCCCTCTTCCGCGCTCTCCGCTTCCGCCAGCTCCGCGGCAGCGCTAAATGCCGCTGGTGCTGGCGCTGGACCGATGCAGTCACAGCAGCAGCAGCAGCTGTTTCCACAGCAGCAGGTCCAACAGCAGCAGCCGTTGCAGCAGCAGCAGATGCAGTCAGGTCAGCTGGTATTTCAGCAGCAGCCGCCGCAGTTTCAGGCGCAATATCAGGGAGGGTCGATGCAGTTCCAGCAGCAGCCGCAGCAACAACAGCAGCAGTCGCAGCAGCAGCAGCCGCAGTTTTTCCCACAGCCGAGCCAGTACCAACAGCAACAGCAGGCCCCGCAGTATCAGCAGCAGCCGCCGCCGCTGCAGCAGCAGCAACAGCAATTTCTGCAGGCACCATACCAGCAACAGCTACCACAGCAGCAATCACAGCCGCTGCAGTCACAGCAGGTGCAGCAGCAGCAGCAGCAGCAGCAGCAGCAGCAGCAGCAGCAGCAGGGCGGAGCCTTATGGGCCGGCACCTCAGGACAAGGAAGCACTGTGGCACTGGGCGGCCAAGGCACCATACCCATGTTAGGTCAAGGCACGGTACCCTTGTTAGGGCACAGTGTATCCGGTATGTCTGGCATGTCTGGTGTGTCTGGTATGTCTGGTATGAGGCCCATCCCCATGCTAGGCGGCCAACTGCTCCCCCAGCCTGCTCACCCTCCCCTGCGGCCCTCCCCGTTCCCTCAAGGGGGAACTCCCGTGCCAAGCCAAGTGCCGAACCAGCTGCCGAGCCTAGCGCCGAGCCAAGCGCCGAGCCAGCCCATGGCTCACCAGCAGTATGCCCCTGTGGTAGGCCAATCAGGGCAGTCCACGTCAGCAGGCCAGTCCATGGCAATTCCTCTTCTAGGGCAAGGGCTGGTCGCTCTTCATCCTCAGGGCACTGTGGCAACAGGTCCCACAGGTGCTAGCTCTGGGGTAGGCATGCACGGAGGAGGAGCATTTGCGCCGGCCCCTCCCTCAGCTGCTACTACTGCCACTCTTCTCTGCATGCCTTCTGCTGCTGTACCAGGAGCAGCAGCAGCAGCAGCAGCAGCAGCAGCAGCACCACACCAGCAGCAGCAGCAGCAGTGAGCAAGCCAGCGGCATCGTTTGGGGGACTGGATCTGAATGCTTGTCCGGATGACGTCAGCTCCCTCTCCTCGCCCACCCCCATGGCTGCAACTGCTGCTGGTACGACGGCCACTTCTGCTGCTGCTGCTGCTGCTGCCCTGACTGGTAACCCTGTTACATCCCCACCTGCTACAGCTCCTCTCACGAGTCCAACTGTAGCAGCTGCTACAGCCCCCCTTGCATTTGGTCCTGCTGCGCCTGTCCCTCATACGACCCCTGGTTTTGCCGCTGGGATGGGAGGAGGGGTACGAGCCCCCATGGGGCTGGTCCTGCCGCCACAATATGGCGCTCCTTTGAATACCGCGCCTCAGTATAGCGTCCCCTTGGGTGCCGCGCATCACCATAACGCCCCCTTGGGGGCTGCGCTTCATTCCAACAACATAGCCATGTCTGCATCATTCTCTCCTGTGACCTCAGCACCGCAGTATACTGCTGCTGCGGGAGCAGGTCCCTCTATGGGGGGCTCAAACCCCGTGCTCTCAAGCATGCAGGCCGCGCCTCACCCCATGCACCATTCGACTGCATCCCCCCAGACCATGGGTCACTTGGGCGCATCTCATGCCCACCCCATGCCCACAGGGGTTGCTCCTGGCCCGCATTTGCTCTCCATGCCACCAGTGACCCATGCCATGCCGGCCATGCCTGCCTCTCACCCGACCCTCATGGGAGGGGTAGCCCCTGCTGCTGCCCTGCCTCCTCCCGCTCCTCTCTCTGCAGCCACCGCTGCTGCTGCTGCTGCTGCTGCTGCTACTGGTGGTGGCGTGTCAGCAGCAGGAGTAGCAGTTGATGATGCTGCTGGTGCTGGTGGTGGCGTGTCTAGTGGTGGAGGAGGGGGCGGTGGGGGTGGGGGTGGTGGTGGCGGCGGGTTTGGGTTTGAGCTGGATCTGAATGCGCCAGTGGATGATACCGAAACCGAAACTGAAGGCAGTAATGATGGCGCTGGTGCCAGCTGGGGCGGACAGAGTGGGGCCCACTCCGACGCAGCACAGGGACCTGCTGACTCAGCACAAGGCCCAGCCGACTCAGCTCGGGATCACAGCATGGCGACTGATGCAGGTGGCGCCTTTTCAGGCGATGGGGGTTACAGGGCTGCAGGGGGGGGGAGCGGGATGCGAGAGCAGGATTTGGGGAAGGTTTCAGCTTTTGAGTTGACTCAAAAGGTTTCAACTGGTCATCGGAGAGACTTCCTTCAAGATTTGAACATGATGCAGGAAGAGGGGCTGCAGGAGGAGCAGCAGGGGGAGCAGGAGGGGCAGCAGGGACTGGAGGGGCAGGGGGGACAGCAAGTAAAGGAGGTGGAGGCGGAGGGGAAGGGAGAAGTGAAGAAAGTGGGGGGAGCGGAGGAGGAGGGAAGCGAGAGAGAGAGTGGTGGGAGGGACGGGGTGGGAGGAGGGAGGAGGCAGGGGTTTATGGTTGATATGAATATGGCGCTGGATGGTGGGGAGGAGGCGGAGGAGGAGAGAGTGGGGGGGGCGGGGGAGAGTGTGGGGGAAGCGGGGGAGAGTGAGGGGGTGGAGAGTGCGGGGATGCCTGCTAGGAGACAGGGAGGAGGAGACAGGGAGGGGGAGAGGGATGGGGAGGGGGGGGAGGAGAGGGGGAGGGAGGAGGCGGGTGAAACAGGCGAGGTGATTTGCGAGGAGGGGCAGGAGGGAGGAGGGGGAGGAGGGGGAGGAGAAGGGGGAGGAGGGGAAGGAGGAGGGGGAATAGGGGAGGAGAGGAGAGGCGGAGGAGAGGAGGAGGAGGAGGTGGGGGTGGTGGGGTTGCTTGGGCTCGCAGAGGCGTTGGAAGGTATGGCTGATGCTGCTGATGTTGATGGTGCTGCTGCTGCTGTTGATGGTGCTGCTGCCAGTGGTGCTGCTGGTGGTGGTGCTGCTGGTGCTGCTGATGGTGGTGGTGCTGGTGGTGGTGGTGGTGCTGGTGGTGGTGCTGGTAGTGTTGATGCTGGTGGTGCTGCTGCTGGTGCTGGTAGTGTTGATGCTGCTGGTGCTGATGGTGGTGCTGATGCTGGTGCTGATGCTGGTGCTGATGCTGGTGCTGTTGCTGCTGCTGCCTCTGGTGAAGCAAATGTTGGTGCACCTTCCTCGGCTGCTGTTCCTCCTGCTCTTACCCTGGCCACTGCTGCAGCTGCATGTCCTGCTCCCATTGCTCCGTCCGCTGCCTCTCCTCCCGATCCTCTCTCTCCTCCTCGTGTTGCTGCCGCTGGAGCTGCTTCCACTGATAAGGTCGGGGCCGATTCGGGGGCACAGGGGTTTTCCTGTCAGGAGGATGCACAGGGTCGCGCAGAGGGGGACGCACAGGGGGACACAGGAGGGGGAGTAGAGGTGGACGCAACGGCAAGCAGGGGGGCGGTGCACGTGGCAGCGAGGGGAGAAGCGGCAGTGGGAGGAATGGGAAGGGAGGGGGGAGGGGAGGGGGGAGAGGAGGGGGGAGAGGAGGGGGAGGAAGGGTCAGTTGCAAGTGGGGAGAGTGGAGGAGGGAAGAGAGCGAAGAGAAGGGCGGGAGAGGGGGAAAGGGGGGGCAGGGAGGGGAGAGAAGGGAAGGAGAAGGGGAAGAAGAGGAGGAAGGAGGGGCGAGCTACACCCTCGGCAGAGGAAGCTGGTGGGAGGGAGACGGGAGTGGGAGGGGAGGGAGGGACAGCCGTGGGTGGTGGTGTGGGCGTGGGTGTGATGCAAGAAGAGGCGGCAGGAGGGGTGGTGGGGGGTGTGCAGAGGGGAGCCAAGAGAGTGAAGGTGGAGGAGGTGGGGGGTGACGGGGGGTGGGAGCGGTAACGGGTGCAGGGCGTGTGGCGGGTGCAAGAGTGGATGGGGGGGTTAATGCTGGTGAGGAAGGTGGACGGGGTGTTGCTGGCACTGCGCCTGCTGAAGTTGCAGCGGCATCTGCTGCTGTTGCTGCTGCTGATGCCGCCCTTGCTGCTGCTGCTCTCGCTGCTCCTGATCCTGCCACTCCTGCTGCTGCTGCTGCTGCTGCTGCTGGTGCTGCTGCTGCTGCTAAAGTCTCTGCTGCTGATGCTCCTGTTCCTGGTCAAGCTCTTGCTGCTGCTGCTGGTATTCCTGCTCCTGTTGCTAAGAATCCTTCTCCCCCTGCTGCTGCGGCTGCTGCTGTGGCTTCTGCCCCTGCTGCTGCTGCTGCTGCTGGCGCCTCTGCGCCTGCTTCTTCAGTCGGAAAAGAGGCGGCGGCAGTGAAGAGAGAGGGGAGTAGCGGCAGGGACGAGGGCAGGGGCAGGGGGGAGGTGGGAGAGGAGAGAGAACGGGAGGAGGAGGAGGAGTTGGGAGCGGCGATTGTGGGAAGGCATCTGACGGCGCTGCCCCCTTTCAGCAAGGCGGAAGGTGAGATGATGATGATGATGATGATGATGGTGGTGGTGGTGGTGGTGGTGGTGGTGGTGGTGGTGGTGGTGGTGGTGGGTGGTGGTGGTGGTGGGTGGTGGTGGTGGTGGTGGTGGTGGTGGTGGGTGGTGGTGGTGGTGGTGGTGGTGGTGGTGGGTGGTGGTGGTGGTGGTGGTGGTGGTGGTGGTGGTGGTGGTGGTGGTGGTGGTGGTGGTGGTGGTGTGGTGGTGGTGGTGGTGGTGGTGGTGGTGGTGGTGGTGGTGGTGGTGGTGGTGGTGGTGGTGGTGGTGGTGGTGGGGGTGGTGGTGGTGGTGGTGGGTGGTGGTGGTGGTGGTGGTGGTGGTGGTGGTGGTGGTGGTGGTGGTGGTGGTGGGTGGTGGTGGTGGTGGTGGTGGTGGTGGTGGTGGTGTGGTGGTGGTGGTGGTGGTGGTGGTGGTGGTGGTGGTGGTGGTGGTGGTGGTGGTGGTGGTGGTGGTGGTGGTGGTGGTGGGTGGTGGTGGGTGGTGGTGGTGGGTGGTGGTGGTGGTGGTGGTGGTGGTGGTGGTGGTGGTGGTGGTGGTGGTGGTGGGGTGGTGGTGGTGGTGGTGGTGGTGGTGGTGGTGGTGGTGGTGGTGGTGGTGGTGGTGGTGGTGGTGGTGGTGGTGGTGGTGGTGGTGGGGTGGTGGTGGTGGTGGTGGTGGTGGTGGTGGTGGTGGTGGTGGTGGTGGTGGTGGTGGTGATGATGATGATGATGATGGTGGTGATGATGATGGGCGATGGGGGAGGGGACGATGGTGAAAGGAAGGAGGGGGGGGAAGTGGCCGCCACTGTCTCTGGTCCTGTCCCTTCCCCTCTCCATTGCCCTGTCCTGTCACCCTTCCTTTGTTCTCTCACCCATCCCAGCCCTGGACCTCCTGGAGCTCGTGTGGTCGGCCCACGCTCCCACCTTCCCACCTTCCCACCTTCCCACCTTCCCACCTTCCCACCTTCCCACCTTCCCACCTTCCCACCTTCCCACCTCCCCACCTTCCCACCTTCCCACCTTCCCACCTTCCCACCTTCCCACCTTCCCACCTTTCCTTTCCTCCAGGCCTGGACCTTCTGGAGCTCATGTGGTCAGCCCACGCTCGCAGGGACCTTCCCTCTTTGGACGCCATTCTCGCGCAGACCGTGGCTCTCTGCCATCGCAACGTGGCTTTCCACGCCGCTGCTGTCTCTGCTCATGTCCCTCCTCCCTGTCCCTGCACCCTGCCCCTTTCCCCTGTTCCCTTCTCCCTTTTCCCTCACCCATCCCAGGCCTGGACCTCCTGGATCTAGTCTGGTCGGCCCACGCTCGCAGGGACCTTCCCTCTTCGGACGCCATTCTCGCGCAGACCGTCGCTCTCTGTCATCGCAACACGGCCTTCCACGCCGCTGCTGTCTCTGCTCCTGTCCCTTTACCCTCTCCCTTCACCCTGTCCGTTACCCTCTCCCTGTCTCCTTTTCCCTCACCCTCCCAGGCCTGGACCTCCTGGAGCTCGTGTGGTCGGCCCATGCCCGCAAGGACCTCCCTTCCCTAGACGCCATTCTCACTCAGACTGTGGCTCTCTGCCATCGCAACATGGCCTTCCACGCCGCTGCTGTCTCTGCGGGGCCCTCCTCGCTCTCCCTCGCCCACGCCTCCCCTGCTGCTACTGCTGCTGCTCTCGCCTCGGCGCGCTACTACTACTGCTCGCTCGCGTTCGTTTCCAAGAAGATTCCGGAGGTCTTTGCCCTGCTACGCACGAGAGAGGTGAGTGTTTGAGGGTCCTCGGATCAGAATACCACCGCCGCTGCTGTCCCTGCGGGGCTCTCCTCCCTCTTCCTCGCCCACGCCTCCCCTGCTGCCACGGCTGCTGCTCTTGCCTCGGCGCGCTACTACTACTGCTCTCTCTCACTTGTGTCGAAGAAAGTTGCTGAAGTGTTTGCCCTACGACGCACAAGAGAGGTGAGTTTGAGGTTCCTTAGATCAGAATACCACCGCTGCTGCTGTCTCTACGGAGCCCTCCTACCTCTCCCTTGCGCACGCCTCCCCTGCCACCACCGATGCTGCCCTTGCCTCGGCTACTCAAAAGCGTTACCTGCCCTCCCTTCCCCTCCAGGCGCTCATAGATGTGCTTATGGCACCAGATGCAGATGACACAGGCGCGGGAAGAGCTCCGACTACTCCGAACTCACGTTTACATAAGCACTTTTACAGTTTACTGTTTTTTCCTACCTGCTAACCTGTCTACTGACGCCGCGCTCACTGGAAGATCTCCAAGGATCTGCTGAAAAGCGTTACCTGCCCTCCCTTCCCCTCCAGGCGCTCATAGCTGTGCTTATGGCACCAGATGCAGATGACACAGGCGCAGGAGGAGGGGGCGGAGGGGGAGGAGGAGGAGGAGGAGGAGGGGGAGCAGGAGGGGAGAAGGCATTACGGAAGGCCACTCCGGTGCTGCTGCAGGCCCTTGCATGCCGCCTCCTGCTGCGCGCCTTCGCTGCCCGCCCCCACTGGCCTATCGCCTTCCTGGAGGTACTTCTGCTCGTCTTGAGGCCCCTCAGAAGCTGCCTTTGCTGCTCGTCCCCACCGGCCCATCGCCTTCCTGGAGGTACTCCTGCTCTTCTTTAGGCGCCTGCTCTCCATATTGAGCAACATCTCTGGTCGGTGTTTGTCTTGCTGCGTGCCTTCGCTGCTCGCCCCCACTGGCCCATCGCCTTCCTGGAGGTACTCTCCATACTGAGCAATGTCTCTAGTCGGTGCATGTCTCTGTGACGGCGAAGCTGGACGATTTCAAGATATCACTGGTCCCTGCCACCGGGCTGACCTGACCTGGGCACCTGCCAGGACCTCGTTTCTGCCATCGCTGCCTGCCTCCCACACTCATGTGCGCTCCTCCCTTCTCTCCAACCCACTCTCCTATTTCACCTCTGTCCCCTCCTCCTTCCCCCCAGGCTTATCTGAGTGACGGTTGTGGCCCGCGGCACTGGGTTGACCTAGACATCTGCTGGGACTTCGTCTCTGCGATCGGTGCCTGCCTGCCTCCCACGCTCATGTGCCCTCGTACGTACCTTCTGCCCTGTCCGCCTTTGCCTCCTTCCTCCCTGCCCTGCTCCCTCCGCCCCAGGCCTATTTGAGTGACGGTTGTGGCCCGCGGCACTGGGTTGACCTGGACACCTGCCGCGACTTCGTCTCTGCCATCGGCGCCTGCCTGCCACACTCCCTCGTCGCTCCTCCCCCCGCCCTGCTCCGTCCTCCCGTTGCTGCCCCACCTGTGGCTGCTGCTGCTGCTGCTGGTGGAAGCGGCGTGGCTTCGCTTGCGGGCGCTAGTCTTTCGGCAGCAGCAGGTGCTGATTCGGCAGCTGCAGGGGGGAAAGGGGCGAGGGGGAGGGCAGGGGCTGTGCCGCCGCGTTCCCCTGCTGCCAGCACCAGCAGTCTTGGCGGGGGGAGTATCAGCGGCGGTTCCGGGGCAAAGAAAGGGGTGAGTGGTCCGGGGTTTCTTTTCCCTAGAACCGTTAGGGTTCATTTTGAGTCGACTCAAAATACAGGTGTATTTTCAGTCGACTCAAAATATGCCTGTATGAGAGTTCTGGTTGGGGTTTCTGGTAGCCTTTTGAGGCGCCTCAAAAGTCGTTCTTTTTTCCTAGAACCGTTGGGGTTCCATGCCTGTATGAGAGTTCTGGTTGGGGTGTCTGGTAGGGTGTTCCCTTCCTTTCAACTTTGGTTCCTTTCCATAATCCATTAGATACTGGTTGCTGGAAGGCCCCCTTCCACCCTCCCTTTCTTCCTCTCTTCTCTTCTCCGTTCCCATCACCTCCATCCATCCCACCCTCCCCTCCACTCGTGAGGAGTCTATTTTTGAGGCGCCTCAAAAAATAGACTCCTCATGCTGGAAGGCCCCCCTCCACCCTCCCCTTCTTCCTCTCTTCTCTTCTCCGCTCCCATCAACTCCATCCATCCCACCCTCCCCTCCACTCTCCTCTGCTCCTGATCCGCCCCAGGCGTCAGACACTGCCACGTCATCAGAGAGGCTCGGAAGCGCCAGCTTGGACCGGTTTGGTGGCTCGGCAGCCGAGGCTGAGATGGAGCGGCTGTTTGTGGGCAGCATGCACAGGATGGTCAGCTCTGGGAGCAGCAGGGAGAATCCGAGGCACCTGATAAGGTGGGTGGGACAGGCATGCGACGTTGACGCTCAGTTCAGGGGTAACACAGTAGTACAGTTATGCAGGGGACCTCCCCTTAAGGCTAAGACAGATCGGCTGTTTGTGGGCAGCATTCACAGGATGGTGAGCAGTGGAAGCAGCAGGGAGAACCCAAGGTACCTGATAAGGTGGGAGGAGAAGACAGGTATGGGAGGTGAGTGTGGTGGGAAGGTATTCACACCATTGTGAGGGGGAGAGGGAGGCTTGGCTGTCCCCCAGTGTGCATGGGCGCTCAGCCAAGCTGCTGCTAGAGCGAGTGAGAGGGCTGCTCCAAGTGATCGCTCATTTGATTTGCCATTCCCCTCCTACCCAATTGACACACCCACCAACAACAGGCTGCTAATGCTGGGAGCGGGCTACCCTCTGGTCAGGGTGCAGGCCACATCACTGCTCCCCCACTGGCTCTCCTCCACGGTGCACGGACGCTCGGCTAAGCTGCTGCTGGAGCAGGTGATGGGGCTCTCTAGTGTGACACCCCCCGCCCCCCTCCTTCCCCCCTCCCCCTCCCCCCCCCAATCGACCCATCCAACCAGGCTGCTCATGCTGGGAGCGGGCTACCCTTTGGTGCGAGTGCAGGCCGCATCCCTACTCCCCCCCTGGCTCTCCTCCACGGTGCATGGGCGCTCAGCCAAGCTGCTGCTGGAGCGGGTGATAGCGCTCACTCGGGGTACCACGGCTGCTGATCTCCGCACCCTGGAGCACCTGTTGAGCATCAAGGTGAGCACCTGTTGAGCATCAAGGTGAGCACCTGCCGCCAGCTTGAGTTGAGAGGGCGGCCAGCATGAGAGGGCGGCCATCCATGCCATGGTACATGCTACTAGCAACATGCCGTGACAGCAATTCCATGTCAGTCAGACCAATGAATGCCCCTCATGTCATGCCATGCTATGAATGCCCCTCATGTCATGCCATGCTATGAATGCCCCTCATGTCATGCCATGCTATGAATGCCCCTCATGTCATGCCATGCTATGAATGCCCCTCATGTCATGCCATGCTATGAATACCCCTCATGTCATGCCATGCTATGAATGCCCCTCATGTCATGCCATGCTATGAATGCCCCTCATGTCATGCCATGCTATGAATGCCCCTCATGTCATGCCATGCTATGAATACCCCTCATGTCATGCCATGCTATGAATGCCCCTCATGTCATGCCATGCTATGAATGCCCCTCATGTCATGCCATGCTATGAATACCCCTCATGTCATGCCATGCTATGAATGCCCCTCATGTCATGCCATGCTATGAATGTGCAGGTGAAGGGGTCGCATGGAGCCAGCTCGCTGCCATGCGAGATTGCGGCTCAAGTCGTCAACATCCGCCCCGAATACGCTGTCTTCGTTATCAAGGTGACTTCTCAATGCCATGCCATGCCATGCCATACAGGGCGCTGTATCTCTATCCCACTGCTTCGTTTCTATCCTCTATCCCTGAAATCAAACTCATTCCTCCCCGTCTCCCCTCCTTCCAACCCAGACCCGCAGCAGCTGCCAGGGTGTAAGTAGTTTCGTTTTGAGTCAACTCAAAACGAAACTACATACACAGGAGCCGCCCCACAACATGCGCGTGCTCGCACCAGCTGTCAGGGCGATTGCTGGGGGGGAGGGGGAGACGTTTCCTGAAGCGCCAAAAAACCCACTCTTTCCACTTTCTTTCTCATATCCCCTCCCCTCCCCCACCCTGTCCCAGACCCTTCTGCTGTGGGAGGTCCGCAAGGAATCGCCCCACAACATGCGCGTGCTCGCAGCAGCAGTCAGGGCGATCGCTGGGGGGGAGGGGGAGGGGAAGGAGGGCGGGGGAGTGGGGAGGGACGGGAAGGGAGAAGGGAGGAGGGAGGGGAAAGGAGGAGGGGAGGGGAGGGAAGGAAAGGGGAGAAGAGAGGGGAGGGAGAGGAAGAGGAGTGATGGGATGGGGATGGAAGGGAGAGCAAGGGGGGAGGGGAAAGAACAGGCAGGAGGCAGGGAGAGGGCGGAAGGGAAGGAGAGGACGTGGAGGGTGTATCCTGAGATTGAGATTGGTAGAGTGCTGCAGGTGAGCAGTGCTCAGAGAGTGGTGCAGAGTGGTGCAGAGTGGTGCAGAGTGGTGCAGAGTGGTGCAGAGTGGTGCAGAGTGGTGCAGAGCAGAGTGGTGCAGAGTGGTGCAGAGTGGTGTAGAGTGATGCAGGTCGGTGGTGCATCTAGCGCATCACCACAACATGCTCTCTGCAATGTTTCTGTGGTGTTGTGCACATCCATCCAGTGACGTTTCTGCCCCACTGTCTCACCTCTACTTGCATCCCTTCCTTCCCCAGGCTCTCCTCAACCGCACTTCTCTCTCCCTCTCTCTCCACTTCTCCCCTCCTCCCACCTCCCCTGCGTCAGGAGTTTTCCCTGGACCCCTCTCTGAACCCGCACCTCCCATCTCTCGCCACCAAGTAAGATGTTGATCTCTGAATTGAGTCGGTTTATTGTCCCACCCATAAGCAATAAAATGACCAGCTTGTGGGTGGGTGGGGCAAACAAATGAGTCAATATCCGGGGAAACCTTGAGTCAAAATGAGCCTTGCACCCGGCAACTTCTCAGCTTGATCCGAAGGAGCCTTGAGTTATGTAACTTATGTCTTTCCGCTGCCGGCTGTTCCCAAGAAGCCTTGAGTTGAGAAGTTGCCGGGCGTAAGGGTCATTTGACCTGGGTCGAGGATTGTCTTTCTGGTGCCCGCCCCTCCCTTCCCCTCCTCCTTCCCCTCGGCCCTTTTCCACCTGCCACAGAATCCTCCGCACTCTAGCTGCCTGCCACCCCCCTGCATCTGTGCCGGCAGCTCTTCCAGCCAGTTACCACGGACCCTCCTTTCCTCTTCCCCCACTCTCTCCTCCCCCCACTTTCCTTACTCCGACCAGAATCCTCCGCACTCTTTCTGCCTGCATCACCCCCCAGCATCTGTGCCAGCAGCTCTTCCAGCTTTTACCAAGGACCCTCCCTTCCTCTTTCCCCCCAACCCCCCCCACCCCCCCCCACCTCCCCCCCACCCCCCCCCCCCACTCACTCCCACCAGAATCCTCCGCACGCTCTCCGCCTACATCAACCCCCTGCACCTGTGCCGGCAGCTCTTCCAGCCGCTGCCGCCCGCAGCGAGGGCCCTCCCAGAGCACATCCTCGTTTCGGCATATTGCCGGCTGGCGTCGCTTGTCCGCACTCTGCTGCTGCTGCACCTCTCTGCGACCGCCGCCGCCGCTGCTGGTGCTGCTGGTGCTGCTGCAGCCTCTGCTGGTGAATTTGCTTCTGCACAGCGTGATGCCACTGCTGCCACAGACCATGGTTCCATGCATGCTCGAGCACATGGGCATGGGCATGCGCACAAGCATGGCCATGGGCCTGGTCAGGGAGATGCGGCAGAAACGAAGAGGGAGAGGAGAGAGGGAGGAGAACAGGGGGGTGAGGGGGGGAAGCAGAACGAGCTGTTGACCAAGGCTCTGTTTGACGCAGCCTGTGTGCAGGTACGTAGGCACAAGCCGCTGCGTGCATGCATGCTATACTCCTCACTGCGCTTGTGTGCAATCTGCTGGTTCGTTGTGGTTTAGACGCTACAACAAATGCAACGAACACAAGTCTTGTTACTCTCCCCACCTCCCTCGGTGCCCCACACTAAAGACCGTGGCAGTCACCTGTTGTTGTGCCACAGAGCTGGCAGAATGGGGCTCTGACCACCAGAATGGGGGGTGTGACTAGGGTTGAGCAAAATACCCGCGCGGGTCGGGTACCCGGACCCGGATCCGCTTTTAGGGCGGGTCGGGTATTAGCATTTCCGAATATTACCCGGCGGGTCGAGTCCGGGTAACCCGGGCGGGTATTCGATACCCGTTACCCGAAACGTTACCTGACACGTCGGGTAACGGGTACCCGACCCGAAATCGGGTAGCGCGTCTACCCGACGGAACCAGCGCGACATTGGTTGGGCTGGTAAAGAAATTTCATAGGTTACGTGAGCTGCTAGGTCACATAGAGCATTGTAGAGTGGCAGGGGCTGGATTTCGTAGATCCAGATGCATTCAGAGCGGTTGAATTGGGGGGAATTGGTTGGAATGCAAACCAATCAAATTTCCCCAGTCGATTTTGCAACCCAACCTGAATCCAACCAACCGCACAGCACCACATTGGTTGGAGGAGTTCCAACCAATTGACTCTGGGGGTCAAAACATCAAAACCCCTAAAACCGCACACAAACCCATCCCAACTAGAAAACCCAACCACCTCCCCACTCACGCCCCACTCACCAGAACTGTAATAGATCTGGCGCACCTCATACTCGCTCCCGCAACTCACGTTTTTAGGTCGTAGGTTTTGCCCAACAGGGTAGGAAAACGCTGGTAATACTACCCGCTTATCAAGGAAACCGGGTCGGGTATACCCGGACCCGCCAGGCGGGTATAAAATTACTCGCCCCCAAATCCTGAGTCCGGGTATTGGTCCTAGGCATGGTACCCGACCCGTACCCGACCCGAAAATACCCGACCTGAAGTCGGGTATAGCAAAACCGGGTCGGGGTTGGGTAAATACCCGGTTTTGCTCATGTCTAGCTGTGACCACCAGAATGGGGCTCTGACCGCCAGAAGGGGGCTTTGACCGCCAGAAGGGGGACTCTGACCGCCAGAAGGGGGGCTCTGACCGCCAGAATGGGGCTCTGTCCGCCAGAATGGGCCTCACTGCCAGAATGGGGGCTCTGACCGCCAGAAGGGGGCTCTGTGCCAGAATGGGTTCTCTTCCCGCCAGAATGGGGGCTCAGACAGCAAGAATGGGGCTCTGACCTCTAGAATGGGCTTTCGAATGTTGTGGCATTCGTATGTTCGATCAATTCGTATGTTTGGGCATTCGTATGTTAGGGTGTTCAAATGTTTGGGCGTTCATATGTTAGGGCGTGGGACCTCCAATTCGTGATTTCGAAGACGGTATGAATTTCAATGGGGTTACGACTTTCGTCAATTTCGTATATACTCTTCGCACATCGCCAAAAACCATCGCCAAGATTCATAACGCATGTGGAACATGCGTCACGAATTCCACCGTTCGAACGGCCAAACCTCCACTTTCGAAACGACAGCGAAGTCGGCACGTTGTGCGAAGAGACTGTAACGGACATCGATGTTTGGGTTTGGTGACCGATGTCCCACACCCTTAGGGTGTTCGTACGTTAGGGCGTTCGTATGTTAGGCTGTTGGTATTTTAGGGTGTTGGTATGTTAGAGTGTTCGTTTGTTAGGTTGTTCGTATTAGATGGGCTTTGGATGGGCTTTGGATGGGCTTTGGATGGGCTTTGGATGGGCTTTGGATGGGCTTGGATGGGCTTGGATGGTGGGCTTTGGGTGGGCTTTGGATGGGCTTTGGATGGGCTTGGATGGGCTTTGGATGAGCTTGGACTGGCTTGGATGGGCTCATATGTTAGGGTGTTCGTATGTTCGGGCGTTCGTATGTTGCTACCAGCTGCCTTGGCTTGACCACGTGCCACAGTGGTGGCAACAGACTGCAGCAGCCTCTGCCCCTCTACCCTCTCACCCTCTACCATTCCACCCCCCCCCTCTTCTCTCCCCCCTTCCCCTCCCCACCCCCCCTCCGCCACCCTAAAGACGGAGGCAGTGACCTGGTGTGCCACAGTGGTAGCCGCAGACTGCAGCAGTCTCTGCCCCTCGCACCTGGCCTTGGCACCTCCTGCTCCTCAGCAGCAGCAGCAGCAACTGCAGCAGCAGCAGCAGCAGCAGGGAGTGAAGAAGGAAGGAGGGATGGTGGACTTGTCAGCAGCAGGAGCAGGGGGGGTGGGGGAGGCAGGAGCAGCATCCACTCAGAAGACTGGGGTTACCATTTTCGATCTGCTCCGCTGCGTGCTGTTCTTTCACCCCATCCCGGTACGCCGCCAACGAAATTTTGAGACGTCTCGTAACGGTATTTCTTTACCCTAAACACATTTGAGTGTTTGATTTACATGATACAGTGGAAGCATTCAACACTAGCAACGCATGCTGCTGGGCATGCTGTTTCCTTTCTCCCCTTTTCCTTCGACTCATCCCGTTCCCCCCTGATCACCTGCGTCCTTCCAAGTTCCAACCCCCCTGATCCCTCTCCGGTGCCCCTCATGCATCAGGAAGCTCCCTGGAAAGTTCCCAAGAGAGAAGAGGGGGCAAGGGGTGGTGGAGACGAGGGGGGTGCGAGTGGGGGTGCCAGTGGGGGTGCCAGTGGGGGTGCAGTGGAGGTGGAGGAGGAGGAGGAGGAGGGGGTGAGAGTGGTGGGGGTATGGGGACTGCCAGTTCTGGAGGAGACACTAGCACGTGTCATTCTGCTGGGAATATCTGTGAGTCACTAGATTTTCTTTCTTGCATCTGACATGGTGAAATTCAAGATGACTCGAATGTCAGGCGGAGGGGGTGAAAGTGGTGATGTATGGGGACTGCCAGTACTGGAAGAGACACTAGCGCGGGTCATTCTGCTGGGAATACCTGTGAGTGGAGAATTCACTGTCCTCCCCCGCCCCCAATCCCTCCATCTCCATTCACTGGAAGTTCTTAGATGTGTCTACAGGGGCCTTTAGGGTTTCGGGTTTACAGTCCTGGCCAGGGTGCTCGCCCACTCTTCTCCAAATCTATCGCCCGTGGACACAACTCCCATGCATACAAACCCCCCATGCGTACAACCCCCCATGCGTACAAACCCTCCTGCGCTCAAACCCCCAATGAGTTCAATCTCCCTAAACCATTCGCCATATCCTTTCGCCAAAACCATTCGCCAAAACCATTCGCTAATTTTTTTCGCCAAATCGACTCGAAACATCCATTCGCCACAACCATTCGCCAAATCCATTCGCCAAACCCATTCGCCAAAGCCTTTCGCCAAATTCATTCGCCAAAACCATTCGGTAAAACCTTTCGCCAAAACCTTTCGTCAAAACCATTCGTCAAAACCATTCGCCAAAACCATTCGCCAAAACCTTTCGCCAAAACCTTTTGCCAAAACCATTCGCCAAACCCATTCGCCAAAACCTTTCGCCAAAACCTGTCGCCAAAACCATTCGCCAAACCCATTCGCCAAAACCTTTCGCCAAAACCTTTCGCGAAAACCTGTCGCCAAAACCATTCGCCAAAACCATTCACCAAAACCTTTCGCCAAAACCATTCGCCAAACCCATTCGCCAAAACCTTTCGCCAAAACCTTTCGCCAAAACCTTTCGCCAAAACCTGTCGCCAAAACCATTCGCCAAAACCTTTCGCCAAAACCATTCGCCAAACCCATTCGCCAAAACCATTCGCCAAAACCATTCGCCAAATCCTTTCGCCAAAACCGTTCGCCAAACCCATTCGCCAAAACTATTCGCCAAAACCTTTCGCCAAATCCTTTCGCCAAAACCGTTCGCCAAACCCATTCGCCAAAACTATTCGCCAAAACCTTTCGCCAAAACCATTCGCCAAAACCTTTCGCCAAAACCATTCGCCAAACCCATTCGCCAAAACTATTCGCCAAAACCTTTCGCCAAAACTTTTCGCCAAAACTTTTCGCCAAAACCATTCGCCAAAACTGGGGCCCGGTTGTTCCCCCATGCCCGGGCCAGGATGCAGCGATGGACATGCTCCTGCACCTGCTGTGTCATGTCCCCTCTGCTCCCCCAAAGCTTCTCTCCACTCATCCTTCCCTTCCCCCATTCCCCCCCCGCAGTCCCCAGGTCCGGGCGTGGATGCAGCAATAGACATCCTCCTGCTCCTGCTGGTGCTGCAGCTGTTGCTGCTAGTGTGTCTCAATCCATACGTCATGTAACATGCCACCCCTCCCTTTCACCCCCTCTGCTTTTGAGTTGACTCAAAAGCTCAACCCCTCGTCATGTGTTCTTCCCCTCCCTTTCACCCCCTCGTCGTGTGTTCTTCCCCTCCTTTTCAACCCCTCGTCATGTGTTCTTCCCCTCCCTTTCAACCCCTCGTCATGTGTTCTTCCCCTCCCTTTCACTCACCCCCTCGTCGTGTGTTCTTCCCCTCCCTTTCAACCCCTCGTCATGTGTTCTTCCCCTCCCTTTCAACCCCTCGTCATGTGTTCTTCCCGTCCCTTTCACCCCCTCGTCGTGTGTTCTTCCCCTCCCTTTCAACCCCTCGTCATGTGTTCTTCCCCTCCCTTTCAACCCCTCGTCGTGTGTTCTTCCCCTCCCTTTCAACCCCTCGTCGTGTGTTCTTCCCCTCCCTTCCACCCCCTCGTCGTGTGTTCTTCCCCGCCCCCCCCCCACACCCTGCCCCCCACCCCCCACTCCCCCTTCCCTTTCCAGTCCCCGGGGCCGGGCCAGGATGCAGCGATGGACATGCTCCTGCACCTGCTGGTGCGAGCAGCTACAGTGCCCTCCCTCTGGGCGGGCAGCCTTGTCGTCTCTGGCCCTCAGGTGGGTGTCTGCCTTCCGGGTTGCTGCCTGCCTGGGTGAACAGCTTTCTCTTCCTTTGTCCCATCCTCTTCATCGCCACTCATGGTCTTGGGAAGAGCAGCAGTGCGAAGTTAGTCGCTTGAGCAACAAGAACGAGAGTAAAAAAATCCTAGGCAGAGATTCGCTTCATAAAAACTCTTCACTCAAATCTACCAGGTCGCAAACATGTTTCGGCTTACGGGGATCAAACCCGCCGAGCCTTCATCAGTGCTACTGGACATAAGAGATCACGAGTCTAGGCATGAGCGAAGTAACAACCCACACCCTCCAAAACAATTCTCAAGATTATCAACTACCCAGATTGCCTATCAATGGGCATTCGCCAACACAGCAGTGGGTAAAAACCCGAGGTTGCAGGTGTCAGTCTTCAGGAGGGTCTTCTTCCGAACTGTTGATAAGCCTTGGTAACTTGGCTCGCACAAGTAACTTTTGAAGGTTACGTGCACACCTCCATGCAATGAAAATATTCCCCATATAAAATCCGCGTGAGTTGAGACGATTTTTGAGGCGCCTCAAAAATTGTCCCATCCTCTTCATCCCATCCTCTTCATCCCATCCTCTTCATCCCATCCTCTTCATCCCATCAGTACATTCCTTCGCATTCTGCTCACGTCATCCCTCGCATCCTTCCCCTTCCCTCCCATCATCCGTCTCTCTGCCAATCGTTTCTCTCCCCTCTCACATAATCATCCGTTTTTTATCCTTTCCTCACTCCTCCCCTTGCCTTGCCCCTGCATCCCGCCCTGCACGGCTTGGGGAGCACTATGGTTTAACCTAAACGCAGCCACCTATCAGCAGCAATCCTTGAGTGAGGAGTCTATTTTTGAGGCGCCTCAAAAATAGACTCCTCGGACAGCCACCTATCAGCAGCAATCCTTGAGCCGAGAGATTCATTGTTGCACCTATGGTGCATTGTTTCAAAACAAGCCCTCTCCCCCTTTCCCCCTCTCCCCCTCCCCCCCTCTCCCCCTCTCCCCTCTCCCCCTCTCCCCCTCTCCCCCTCTCCCCCTCTCCCCCTCTCCCCCTCTCCCCTCTCCCCCTCTCCCCTCTCCCCCTCTCCCCTTCTCCCCTCTCCCCCTCTCCCCCTCTCCCCCTCTCCCCCTCCTCCCCCCACTTCCCCCCTCGCTTACCACAGCTCTCAGCAGCGATATTCAAGCTGGCTTCAGTGGTATTACCGCGCCCGCTGCTCCTCCTCCACCCGCCTCCCCCCAAGCTGGTGTCGGCCCGCCGCTTCTGGCAGGCGTGCTGCGCCATTGTGCTCATCACTGCCCTCTCCTCCTCCCCTCCCTCGCCTCCTCCTCCCCCCTCCCCTCCTCCTCCTTCCTCCACTCCTCCTCCCCCACCCTCCTCTCCTCCTGAGGCTCCCTCGTCCTCTCACCTGCACTTGAGTGGCGGCGAGGGTGCCGGCTTCCCGTCCAGTCAGTCGCTGACTGCGCGGCGTATGCTCGAGGCACTCTTCATGCACCGCGTGCCTCATGTGTAAGCTCTATTTAGAGTCAACTCAAAAGTCCTCAAAAGTCCTGTCAGGCGCCAACTGCGCGGCACATGCTCGAGGCACTCTTCATGCACCGCGTGCCTCATGTGTAAGCTCTATTTAGAGTCAACTCAAAAGTCCTCAAAAGTCCTGTCAGGCGCCAACTGCGCGGCACATGCTCGAGGCACTCTTCATGCACCGCGTGCCTCATGTGTAAGCTCTATTTAGAGTCAACTCAAAAGTCCTCAAAAGTCCTGTCAGGTGCCAACTGCGCGGCACATGCTCGAGTCACTCTTCATGCACCGCGTGCCGTCCGTGTGAGTTGCTCGAGGCTCTCTGCATGCAACACATGGCATCCATGTGAGAACACCACCCGATGCAACAAACAGTTGGTACCTATCGCTTCAACAACGGGTGACGCCCCGTGGTGCTGTGCAATAACGCCCTCCCTTCTCCCCTCAAACCCCCCCTCCTTCTCGCATTCGCAGCGCCGAATCACAGCACGCCACCTGGAAGAAGCAAGCAGAGCAGGACAGCCAGGCCTCAGACCTCCTGCGCCGTCTGCTTTACCCGTCCCCTTCACCTCCCCTCAAGCAAGAGGAGCAAGAATCTTCTGGGTTTGGAGAAGGAATAGGAGGAGCAGGAGGACGAAATGGAGCAGCGGAAGGAGAGGGTGGGGCGGGCAAAGCGGAGTCAGCAGAGGGGGGAATGCCGGTGGCCGTACCCCCATGGTTGGAGGCGGAGATGGGAGAAGAGCTGCTGCTGCAGGAAGGGGAGGGGGAGGGGGAGGTGGGGAGTGAGGGGAGAGAGGGAGTGGGGCGATACGTGCCTGAGGCGGTATGGGAGGTGCTGTGGGAGTGGGACGGAGTGTTTGGCCTTGGAGGGCTTTTAAGACAGGCGTTTGGCGCCTCTGCACTGGAGCGCCTCATACAAGCACAGGTCAGCCCCAAATACAAGCACTGGTAGAAACGGATGAGTGGGAGTGGGGCACTGGGACGGCCAGTTTGGGCTGGGGGGGCTCTTGAGGAAGGCGTTTGGCGCCTCTGCACTGGAGCGCCTCATACAAGCACAGGTCAGCCCCACTCCCTCCCCCCACCCGCCCCCCCCACTCCCTTCCCCCCCTCCCCCCACTCCCTCCCTCCCCCCACGCCCTCTCTCCACTCCCTCACCCCACTCCCTCCCCTCCCCCCCCCCACTCCCTCCCCCCCTCCCCCCCACTCCCTCCCCTCACCCCCCCCCACCTCTTGTATGGGCGTCTCGTACAAGCACATATGACTTATTGACCAAAACCGCCCCTACTTCCCCACAAGCGCATATGACTTATTGGCCAGAACCGCCCCTACTGCCCTACAAGCACATAGGACTTATTGACCAGAACCGCCCCAACTGCCCTACAAGCACATATGACTTATTGACCAGAATCGCCCCTACTGCCCTACAAGCACATATGACTTATTGACCAGAATCGCCCCTACTGCCATACAAGCACATATGACTTATTGACCAGAACCGCCCCTACTGCCCTACAAGCACATATGACTAATTGACCAGAACCGCCCCTACTGCCCTACAAGCACATATGACTTATTGACCAGAACCGCCCCTACTGCCCTACAAGCACATATGACTTATTGACCGGAACCGCCCCTGCTCCCCTACAAGCGTCCCTCAGGCAAGTGTGTAAGTCCCCTCAGCCAAGCGTCCGAGCCCCTCAGCCAAGCGTCCGAGCCCCCTAGGCAAAGCGCTTCTTCCCAAGTGTGGCTGCATGGCTTCTCTCAGACGACCCGTCTGTTTTTGTTGCTCACTTGGGTTCTTTCTAACAACCCCTCCATTCACGCTAGCCAACAACCTTCCCTCCGCATCTTTCCCCCTACCAGGGCGGAGTGGCAGCCTCGTGGCCTGGGGTTTCTCTTAGACGACCCTTCTTTGATTTGTCGCTCAGTTAGCGACATTCTCTGCTCATATTCTCTGCCCCTTTCACTTTTTCCGTTCCCCCTACCAGGGCGGAGTGGCAGCCTCATGGCCATGGCTTCATCGCGTTTAGTCCTTGAAACCCCTCCCGTCTCTCCCCCCTTCCCCCTCCCCTCCTTCCCCCCTCCCCCCCTTCCCCCCTCCCCCCCTGTCCCCTACCAGGGCGGAGTGGCAGCCTCATGGCCGTGGCTGCATGGATTTCTCTCAGACGACCCTTCAGTTGTGGCCCACCTGGCTCCCATCACCCAGTGCGAGATCCTCTACCACCAGTGGAGGAGGGAGGACGCGTCTCTCCCCTCTTCCTCCCCTCCTCCTCTCTCCCGATCTCACACCGCCCGCACAATCCAACGGCTGCGAGCTGCTGTTGCGAGAGAGGTAGCAGGGGGAGCAAATGTTGGAGAGACAAGACATGCCGATGACACAGCTGGAGCAGCGGGCACAACAGCGGGCACAGCAGCGGGCACAACAGCGAGCACAGCAGCGAGCACAGCAGCAGGAACAGAAAGTGCAGATACAGTGGTACAACCACGGAGTGTGGTGCCGCCCTTGGACTCAAGCACCACACTGGGTATTGTTGGCTTCCTTGCCAGCAAGCTGCCTTCTCGATTTGAGTCCAAGCGGGGCAGCAGCAGAAGGTGCCTGGCAGAGATATTCGTCCCGGACCTGCTGCTGCAATCACCAGCACCATCAGCAGCAGCACCGGCAGCAGCAGCAGCACCGGCAGCACCGGCAGCATCGGCAGGAGTATCAGAGGGGTGGGATGCGGTGGGCATGGGATGGCTGGAGGTGATCAACAGGCTCCCAGTGGCGGAGGCTGCTGCTCGTGTGCTGCTGCCAGTAGTGTGTCGGGCTCTCATGAAAGAAACACATGTGCCCACAGTAAGTTCCTTGGCTTTTGGCTTATAAGCAGTAAGTCCTTTGCCTTCAAAGCCAGTTCTTTTCTTGCGATACCTCGTTCGAGAGGAGTTTTTGCTCTCTGGGTACTGCGTATTTCTTAGGCGCCCCATTATTCGCCTCCACGTTCTTTTGCTCCCTTTGAGGTCGCTGCATATGCATGATATTTACATGGCTGGTTGCTTAATAGCAATGCCACGAGCCTTGCCTTAAAGCCCTTCCCCTTCCCCAATTCCTACTACCACCCCCTTCTGCCCCTTGTGCCTGCCAGATCACTGTATATATATCGTACCTTCATTACTGGTATCGCCGACAGCAACAGCAGCAGCAGCAGCAGCAGCAGCAGCACAAGCACTGCGAACAGCAGCAAGCAAAGGAGAAGGGGCTTGAGACAGGGGAGGCAGGCGAGGGAAATAGGGATGGGACAGCAGTGAAGGAGGGTGGTGAAGTAGTTACGGCTGGCGAGGAAGGGGCGGGGCAAGGGGCTGATGAGCAGAGAGGTGTGACCAGAGGCGGGGAGAAGGACCAGGGGAGGGAAAGAGGCGAGGGAGAGGAGAGCGATGGTGCAGCAGGGGAAGGCTCTAGGAAGGGAGCTGAGGCAAGTAAGGTGGGGGTGGAGGAGGGTACGGAAGAGAAGGGAGGGGAGGAGGGAAGCGAGGAGAAGGGAGTGGGTGTGGGAGCTGAAGAGAAGGGAGGTAGTGGGGGAGAGGTGGCAGGAGGGGATATGGAGAACATGATGGTGGAGGGAGAGCATGCGTCGAAGCAGCAGTCAGGCAGAGAGGACGAGGACGAGGAGGGCGAGGAGGCTGAGGAGGCTGAGGAGAAGGAGGAGAAGGAGGAGCACAGTAAAGAGGCAAAAGAAGTGGGGGGCAACGCCCAGCCCCTTGCTCCAACCACCCAAACACCAGCCTTCCCCGCTTCCCTGGACTCCCCTCCAGCCCCCTCCTCTTCATCTCCTCCCCACCCATCTCCACCGCTCTCCTCTACTTCCCCTACCCTAACATCCCCCGCCTCTCCCCCTCTCAACCTCCCCCTCCTCCTGGCGCGTTTCATCCGCTCCCGCCCCCTCCTAGCCCGCCAGCTGCTCCTCCCCCTTCCGCCCCTCCTCCCCCTCGCTTCTCCCCATGACTCTGGAAGGAAAGGGGGAGGCGGGGATGGGGGGAATGGAAGAGGGGACGAGGAGATGAAAGATGGGGAGAGTGAGGGGAGCGAGGGAGATGGGGGAAGCATGGAAGAGAGGAGAATGGGAGGGAGGGCGGGTGAGGAGGAAGAGACGGGGGTGGGTGAGAAGACCGTGGGTAAGAGGCAGAAGGTGGGGAGGGAGGAGAAGGAGGAAGCAGAGGATGAGGAAAAGGAGGAGGAAGAGGAGGGAAAGGAGGAGGTCCTTGAACGCCCTCCGTGGTCGCCTGTTGGGAGCGAAGGCGAGGATAAGGAGGAATATATGGAGGAAGGAAAGAAAGATATGCAAGAGACTGAGAAGAACGGTGATGATGGTGTTGGAGAGAAGGGTGGTGGTGAGGGAGGGGAGAAGGGTGGTGGTGAGGGAGGGGAGAAGGGTGGTGGTGAGGGAGGGGAGAAGGGTGGTGGTGCAGAGGCAATGGAGGTGGACGGAGAGGCAGTGGTGGGAGAAGGGGCGGGAGAAGGGGACGGTGGGGGAGAGGGGAAAGAAGAGGAGAGGGCGGAAGAGAAGGCAGGTGCAGATAGTGAGCAGCTGAGAGGATGGGAAGGAGAGGGGACGGGCTTATGGCACATGGTGTGTGTGCTGTGTGATGTGTTGAGGGGGACGCTGGTGGAAGGGTGGGCAGGGAAGGTCGGCGAGGAAGGGGGAGAGGGTGAGAGGAGGAGGGGTGAGTGGGGAGAGTGGGTTCTCTTTGCGCCTGCTGCAGCAAGCACAGACGGTGCAGATGCATCTGATGCAAAGGAGGAGACTTTTGATTCGACTCAAAAGTCACCAGACGCATCTGATGCATCAGCTGCAAAGGAGGAAGGGTCTGCTCGTACGCCTGCTGCTCTCCCTCCTCCCGCTCCCTCTGGACTCCTCCTACTGCCCCTAGTGGTTGTGCGAGCAGCTGTGGACGTTATCTCCCTGCTCTCTTCCCATCCCGCTCTCTCTCTGCACCCTACCACCGCTGCCCTTGCTGCTCCTCACACTGGGGCTACTGCTGGTGATGCTGCGGGTGGTTCGATTGCTGCTTGTGATGCTGCTTCTGACGCTCCTGTGCTGTCACGGGCTGTGTTTCGAGCAAGGAGGGCGTATCAGCAGTTGAGGCAGGTGCTCTTCTCTGGGGCGCCCACACCCGTTGTTGCTGCGGAAGCAGACAGTGCTTCGCCTCCGTCCATTGCAGCAGCAGCTGCAGACGGCCCCAGTGCTGCAATCACTGCTATCACACTGCCTCATGGTGATGCTGGCGGGGCTATTGCCCTGGCCAGGGTGTGGCGAGTTAAGCCTGTGACGTGCAAGGAAGAAGTGCAGGGGGCGCTGGAGGGGGGGAAGGCAGCGGAGAGAGGGGAGGAGCTGTGCCTTGTGACTGAGGAGCAAGTGCTGCGGTTTGGTGAAGGATGGAGGGAAGGGGGAGCAGGTGGTAAGGGTGCAGTAGGAGGAGCTAGTGATATGGCGGTGGATGCTGGGGAGGGGAAGGAGACTTTGGAGTTGACTCAAAAAGCAGATGGTGTAGGTGGAGGGGGAGAAGGAGGGGAGCCGTTGGATGGTGAAGAGGGAGGAGTGGCGATGGAAACAGATGTGGGCGAGGTGGTAGGGCCGGCACCAGCCACACCAGACACAGCAGCTGCAGCAGCATCAGCAGAAGCAGAAGCGGAAGAAGCAGAACCGGTGACAGCGCCAGAAGCAGGAGCAACAGCAGGAGGGGGAGAAGGAGAAGTGCAGCCAAACATTCTGCTCCCGTCCCCTTTCCTCCTCCGGAGCCTCCTCGCTCTCAGCCCCACTGCTCTCAAGGCACAGCTGCAGCGGGCAGTGCAGACAACTATGCTAAGTGTGGGGAGTAGGCTAAGTGGGGGTACGAAGCCGAGTGAGGGAAGCGAGGGGCATTATGGAGCAGCTACACGCACTGAGAGAAGGCCTGGTCGAGAGGATGAGGGGAGAGAGAAGCGGGAGGAGAAGGAAGGGGCGCATGAGAGTGGAGTGTGGGTGCTGGCAGGGCGACTTGTCCAGCTGTTGGAAAGCCTCCTGGGAATCCAGGCGTCTGGGGAGAGCCTTCTTGGCATAAAGGCGTCTGGGGTACGCGTTTCAGGGTCAGAGGGGTCCGGGGAACGTGCTGCTGGGTCAGAGGAGCAGTGGAGAGGGAGTGTGGGGGAAGAGGGGGAGAGGAGAGGGAGTGGGGGGGAAGAGGGGGAGCAAAAAGGTAGCGAGGGGGACGAGGGGGCAGCTGGCTCACTTGCGGCAGCAGAGGAGGAGGTGAAGGCTCTGGCTGTTCTGGAAGCGCTGCTGTTCATCGACCCCTATGCCTCTCACCCTAGCTTCCGATCGCTCCTCATCCGAACCCACTGCCCTCCCCACCACCACCACCACCACCACCAGCACCATCAACACCACCACTCGCACACACATTATCAACCGCTTCCTCCCCACCAGGGTCACAGCCACTGCTACATGACCTCTCCCTCCCCCACCCTCCTCCTTCTCCCCCGTGTGCTCCATGCCGCCTATACTGCCCTCTCTAGTTCACACACGCCTGCCGCTGCAGCTGCCAGCCTGCTCTCCTTCCTCTGCCGGCGAGGGGCAAAATGTGAACTCCCCGCCATAATCCGAGGGCATAGTACGAACCTCCCCGCACGAGGGGGTAGAGAGGGTGAGAGGGGTGCAGCGTGTGTGGGAGACGTGTGGCGTGTGTGGTGCGTGCGGGAATCAGCACGATCAGCCCTTGGATTCATCGGATCTGCTTTGGAGAGAAGGAGAGGCACAGTAGGCGTGACAGCAGGAGGAGGAGGAGGAGGAGGAGGAGGAGATCTGCAGATAGTAGGTGCAAGTGGTGGGGATCACCGGGAATTTCTCATGCAATCTCAGCCGTCCATCTTTGCCTTCACATCCAAGGAGGCAGCTGGGCTCGCTCAGATCGCTGCTGCTGAGCTGGCAGCCTCGGATTGGCTCATCGAGCACGCTGCCTCCCAAAGAGAGGCGTCCAAGCAGCAAGAAGAGGGACGGACAGAAGGGGTGGACAGGGGAGGGGACAGGGAGCAAGGGGAAGGAGCATGGGCCGCGTGGGGAGGTACAGGTTTAAGAGAGGGGGAGGGGGAGGGGGACGGTGAGGAGGAGGAGGAGGAGAGGAGGCAAACGGATGACAGGGAGGTGGTGCTGGTGCAGGTGTTAACCAGAGCAGGCGGCTTCCTGGAAGCTGCTGATGGTGATGCTGGTGGTGGCAAGCGTGCAGGCCAGGCAATCGTGAATGAGCTGTGAGTTGTCTCTGGTTCAAAAGCCCTTGTCGTTTCCATCAATCATTTTCTCGCTTTAGGATCTTCCCTCGTCCCTTGACTAAATCGTTTTGCAGGGTGTTTTTGAGAAATTCTCAAAAACACCCTGCAAAATCATTTTCTCGCTTGAGGATCTTCCCTCGCCCCTTGACTGAATCGTTTCTCACGCGTGTCCCACCCACCCACTTAATCCTCGTCCCACTACCTTCCAGTTGTCGGCTCACTCAGCACTGGAGGCTTCTCAACAACCGGCAGCATTGCAACGAGACACATCCTGTCATGGTAGAAGCTGCATGGAAGCTTCTCGCAGGCCTCTACTGCACCGCACCAGATGCGCTTTCCAGGCACCTTCCCAAGCCAGAGGCGGATTGGGAGGGGCAGGTGGCTTTTCACGCTGCCCCTGATAGATACGCCCGGGCATCTGAAACTCTCTCCTCATTGGCCCGCGCCCTCCATCAGCTCGTTCGTTCCTGCCTGCCCGGAGCCTCCTCCGGGCAGAAAAAAGAGACTGGGACTGACCCTGTGGAAGGGGTGGGATTGGAGAGGGCGGGTAGAGTTAAGGGAGGAGAGGGTGAGAGGGGAAGTGGGAAGGGGAGGGAGGTGGAGGAGGGGGAGGAGGAGAGGGAGAGGGAGAGGGAGAGGGAGAGGAGGACAGCAAGCACGTTGCTTTATCTGCGGGCAATGGCAGTGGCTCACCCGATGCTTGTCCTCCCGCTGCTGCCCATGCTAGCAGCTCTCCTGCAGGTGAGTCTTTGAGAGCAGGAGGGAGGTTAGATGAGGGGGGGGAGGGGCAGAGAGGGAGAGGAGCAAAGCAATCACGTCGCCCTGGTAGGCAGATCTCCTGCAGGTGAGGCGGGTCATTCGTACCGGGCTGTGGTGTGCTGTGCTTTGCGGCGGTGTGCTTCCGACCGGTCGAGAGCAATCCAGCCGAAAGCACTCCGGCCGAAAGCACACCGGTCCAACACACACCGGTCCAAAACACACTGGTCGAAATCACTCCGATCGAAAGCACTCCGGTCGAAATCACTCCAGTCGAAAGCACTCCGGTCGAAAGCACTCCGGTCGAAAGCACTCCGGTCCAAAGCACTCCGGTCCAAAGCACTCCGGTCGAAACCATTCCGGTCGAAACCACTCCGGTCGAAACCACTTCAGTCGAAACCACTCCGGTCCAAAGCACTCCTGTCCAAAGCACTCCAAGATCTCATTCCCTCTCTTGTGCCAGGTTCGCCCCATCCCCCTCGTAACCAGCGCCCCTCTTGCCGTGCCATCTCATTCCCAAGTGGAGCCCCTCTTGCCGTGCCATCTCATTCCCAAGTGGATCGCCTTCTTCTCGTGACCTGCGCCTACTTGTCGTCGCTTCCTCCTCTGCTCTCGTTGCCCTGCCAATCCCCCTTCCTTTGCGCCCCTCCTGGGTTCCCACCTGCTTCCCTCCAGCAGGATCTCATCCCTCTAGTGACCTGCGTTTCCCAGCTGCTCAAGGCAGCAGCAGTCAACGCCTTCTCTTCTGGCCTTGTGCTCCTCTCAGCCCTCCAGCTCTCCCTTCTCTTCCTCTGAGACCACCCTCTTTCTGCTCCCTTCTGTGTGTCAATCCCATCAGGACCTCATTCCTCTCGTCACATGCACTTCCCAGCCGCTCAAGGCAGCAGCAGTCAATGCCTTCTCTTCTGGCCTCGTGCTGCTCTCCGCCCTCCAGCCCTCCCTGCTCGCCCTCTACAATCTCCCTCCCTCCACTGCCTCTCCAGCTGCCCCTCCAGCTACTCCCACCCATATTGCTTTAACCACCGCCACCTCCACCAGTACTGCCGCCACCGCCCGCCGCAGCAGCAGCAGCAGCAGCAGGGACGTGTTAGCAGTGTGCGTACAGCCATACTTGGACCTGCTGCTGACTCTGAGGCTGAGGGACAAACCCACGGTGGTAAGACTTGTGGCTCAGCTCTCGGACTTCCTCCTCCGCTGCTGCTGCCCCTCTGACGCTGCTGCAGATGCTGCTGCAGAGGCACATGCCAGAATGCACATGGAAACTGCAGGCACGCACATGCAGGCTCCAGGCGCAGCAGCGAGTTCAACAGCAAATGCAGCGGCAAATGCAGCGGCAAATTCAGCAGCGAGTGAGCAGTCCAGTGTGAGGAGCTTTGAGCTGGTGCGGGCGCACAGGGGCAGTGCGTTGGGGCATGCAGCGAAGCACTTTGGCAAGGTGAAGAAGCTGAAGCAGCTGCTCGCAGTGCTGGATGCCGAAAGGGGTGAGGGGGCGGGAGCAGAGGGCACAGCACGGGGAAAGGCAGCAGCAGAGCCGGGGACAGGGGAAGGGACGGGGGCAGAGAGAGGGGAGAGAGGGGAGGAAGGCGCCCCTTCCTTTGCGAAATGGTTGAGTCTGCGCGCAAGGCTGGTTCGCGTGCTTCACGCCTCTTCAGATGGCTTCTCAGGACCAGAAGACGAGTGGTGGGCAGGAGATGCAGATGCAGCTGCTGATGGTGCTGCTGCTGCAGGAGAGACAGCAGGAGGGGGGCAGGTGGAAGCAGTGATGGTTGTGTTACAGGAGATAGAATCTGCTGCCGCTCTAGAGCCGGCTAAACTGCCCCTACTGCAGCATGCCCTGTGTCTTGCTCTCGACCACTGCCCGTTCCCCCACTCCCCCTCCGTTTCCTCCCTTGCTTTCGCCGCTGGTGCTGCTGCTAGTGGTACACCTGCTGCTGCTGCTGGAGTAACCGGGTTACCAGCATCTGCTGGTGGTGGGGTGATCCAGCCGAGGGCAGATGGGCGGATGGTGCTGGACGTGGCGCTCAGACTGCTGGAGCGAATGCTGCTGCATGCATACAGGTGAGAGCATGCTTACAGGTGAAAGAGTGCATTCCGGTCACGGTTCATTCTGCAATTGTTCTAAGGCGCCTACTCACACAACCAGGCAAAGGTAGATGGGCGGATGGTGGTGGATGTGGCACTGAGACTGCTGGAGCGAATGCTGTTGCAAGCATACAGGTGAGAGCATGCTACCGCTCTCGTTCCTGATAGGCCCCCCACCTTACAACTAGGTGAGGGCCGATGGGCGGATGGTGGTGGACGTGGCGCTGAAACTGCTGGAGCGGATGCTGCTGCATGCATACAGGTGAGCATCTGGCAGCAGTCATGTTGCTACTGCGAAATCTGCACTCTTTGAAGCCTGCACTCTTCAAAGTCTGCACTCTTTGAGGTCAAACTCTGCAGTCCCTTCTGTGCACAAGTGGCTTTCGCATCAAGCTTGTTTTGGCAGCGCATGCTCTGCCTGCCTGTTATGGTCATAGCTCTTGTCTCTTGTGCGATCCATGTTATTTTCGAGATGTCTCAAAACAATTCTTCTCTTGCGCTGTTATCGCCATAGCTCTCGTCTCTTGTGGGATCCATGTTCGTTTTTCCTGCACCCAGCTTTCCCATGGTGCTTCAATGCTCCTAACCTCCCCTTTCTCTCCTCCCCTCTCATTTTCTCTCCTCTCCTCTCCTCTCCTCTTCCCCCCTACCTTTTCCCCACCCCCCCCCCCATGCAGCGCCTGCGACCGCTCTCTCATCGCCTCCTCTCTCCTGCGCCTCCTTCACTCCGTCACCCTCCACCAGCAACCATCCCTCCTCCCCCTCCTCTCCTCCTACCTGCCGCGCCTGCTCTTCTTTTTCCCAGGTGCGTTGGGTGCTTGTGGACATGTGTGTTTGCCTTTAGTGAGTTTCTTTAGCAGTCTCAAAGGACACCCCTTCAGCTGTTACAACCATGCAGGCATCCTCCTGTGTCCCGCTGCCATGATTCTCACTGTGCGCACTTCCCGTGCTCTCCATCCCATCTTCCTCCCTTTTCACCCCTCCCCCCTCCCCCCTCCCCCCTCCCCCCTCCCCCCCCTTTCGCCCTCCCCCGCACCAGACCACAAGCAGCAGCTCTTGGACGCACTCATGCACGTGCCGCCATGCCTCTCTCTCCCTCCACCTCCTGCCATTGCCATTGGCTTCACCTCCACCCCTCCCCACTCTCAAGAGGCTGTAGTTGAGGCGGGCAAGGCCAGCAGCAGCTGCACTGGTGGTGGTGGTTTGCAGTGTGCCTCCACTGACCCTCTGCTCTGTACAGTGCGCTCCATAGTGGCTGTAGAGCTGTGACTGTAGACCTTCTGCATTGAAGTCAACAGAGCACATTTGCAAGCTTTCTTGTCCAACTGACCTCAGGTCAACATGGGGTGTCATGTCAGCAGTAGAGGCAGTGCGGTACTTCGCAAAAAGTAATACATGTGGGTTCGCCAAACCTCTATGCTAAAACAATGAGTACAATTAATTTGCTGGTTCAACAGTACAGTTGAACCCACCCAACCATTGCAGCATTGGCAGCCGTAAACTATCCTTTATGGGAAGCTTGCCTAGTCAGCCTGTGTCATCCATAAGCAACTCTATGATCTAATACTACGAAAGCGCAAAGAGTTTGTCTGTCCTAAGCGCGCCGACGAGCCCGGAAAAGAAGAAGAAAAAGCGGGAAACAGACGAACTTCGACAATTAGCGAGGCGAAAACATGTGGGGACTTTAAAGCGAGAAGCTATAATAATGACCCCCACTTCGAGTTGGACCCAACTCGAAATGTTTCGGATCAAGAGTGTATTGGTTGGAACCTTGGGAGGCGTGTTTTTTTTTTCCCCGACAATTCTTACATGGCCGATCCTTGGCGAAAAGATTACCAACTGACATTTTGCCTGATTGTCGCATAACACAATCACTCGCTACGCTGCGACAAAACTAGCTGCGGATCTAAATTTTGGAAGCCAAGGCACACCCTTCCTCGTCAGATGTCACTTCCAAGCCCTGCAAAGCGAAACATTTCACCGAAGACTGAGTGCAAGATATCAGAGAAAGAGAGAGTGAGCGAGCGAATGCAAAAATCGAGGGCATGTGATCATACATGAGTGGGGACAGATACGCGCGAGAGGTGTGGAGAGAGGGAGATATGGCGGGAGCGAGGGGCGAGCGAGTGTGGCGCAGCGGGAAGGGAGTGGCATGGCGAGACGCTCGCTCCTCCTCCTCTCTCTCTCTCTCTCCCGCTGCGCCACTCTCTCCCTATTCTCACCTCCGCCTCTCTCCTTCTAACCGCGCCACTCTCTTCCACGCCGCGTCACTCCCCCACTCTCTCACCGCGCCTCTACCGCTAACGATGCCTCTCTCTCTCTCTCTCTCTCTCTCTCTCTCTCTCTCTCTCTCTCTCTCTCTCTCTCTCTCTCTCTCTCTCTCTCTCTCTCTCACCGCGTCTCTCACCCTTTCTCCCCGCGTCTCTCCCTCTCTCGCCCGCGTTTCTCCCTATCTCGCCCGCGTCTCTCTCTCTATCGCTGCGTCTCACCCTTTCTCCCCGCGTCTCTCTCTCTCTCGCCCGCGTTTCTCCCTATCTCGCCCGCGTCTCTCTCTCTATCGCTGTGTCTCACCCTTTCTCCCCGCGTCTCTCCATCTCTGGCCTCGTCTCTCCCGCTGACGCCACGTCTCCCTCTCTCTCCCTCTCTCGCCCGTGTTTCTCCGTATCTCGCCCGCGTCTCTCTCTCTCTCGCCCGCGTTTCTCCCTATCTCGCCCGCGTCTCTCTCTTTATCGCTGCTTCTCACCCTTTCTCCCCGCGTCTCTCCATCTCTGGCCTCGTCTCTCCCGCTGACGCCGCGTCTCCCTCTCTCTCCCTCTCTCGCCCGTGTTTCTCCGTATCTCGCCCTCGTTTCTCCCTCTCTCGCCCACGACTCTCCCTCTCTCGCCGCGTTTCTCCCTCTCTCCCCGAGTCTCTCTCTCTATCGCCGCGTCTCACCCTTTCTCCCCGCGTCTCTCCCTCTCTCGCCACGTCTCTCCATCTCTGGCCTCATCTCTCCCGCTCACGCCGCGTCTCCCTTTCTCTCCCTCTCTCGCCCGCGTTTCTCCGTATTTCGCCCGCGTTTCTCCGTATCTCGCCCACGTCTCTCCTTCTCTTGCCGCGTTTCTCCCTCTCTCCCCGCTTCCTCGTCTCTTCCGCTCATGCCGCGTCTCCCTCTCTCTCCCTCTCTTGCCCGCGTTTCTCCCTCTCCCCGCGTCTCTCTCTCTCTCTATCGCCGCGTCTCTCCCTCTCTCCCCGCGTCTCTCCCTCTCTATCTCTCCCGCAGCGCCACACTCTCTCTCACAGCTCTATCGGCACCAAGTTTCTATGCAGTGGGGCAGCTAGCGGAACTAGCTTGCTTTCTCGGTGATTTTTTGCTAGCTGGATGTCGCTTTGCGTGGGGAAGGTGGTGAATCCTCGGCAATTGTGAACACAGGCCCAACTTGAAAAATGAGTTGGGCCCATCTCGATCCGAGAGCCCCAACTCGTTGCTTGCACTCGCCGTGCAAGTGTCGCATCGAGAAGTGCGACCCCTGACAAGGATTCGTTTTCAGATTTGCGTGTCGCGCATTTCGCCCTGCGATCAACATTTTGGCGGGACCCAATCAGCTTTGAGCTGAAATTCCGATCTGCCTACCCCTGCCATTTTGGAACAGTTATTTGTTGAAGCTGGTTTCCAACTTGAGTCGCTCAGAGGGAGCCCTCTTTCAAGTTGGGCCAGCCTTCACAATTATAACTTCTCGCTTTAACACGCGACGGATTTTAGAGGCGACAAAAGAAACAGATACCAGGGATAGAAAAAATTGTCAACATATACATATTATCTATGTAGAAGTTATAGGCTAGACTAGGTGTGTGCTTCTAGTGAGTACAACCAACTGGTATTTGTTATGTGTTTCTCTTCCTAGTAATTATTCGTTCTTACGTTAACATGGTATCACGCTTAGGTTAGGATCCCCCGTCCACCGCTTCCGCCCGTGCCCTAGCCTTGACCCCCGTCGCGCCCGCTGGGCCCCTTCGCGCCCGCTGGGCCCCGTCGCGCCTCCTAGGCCCCGTCGCGCCCCCCCTGGCCCCTTCGCGCCCGCTAGGCCCCCGTCGCGCCCCCTGGGCCCCTTCGCGGCCCGCTCGGCCCCCGTCGCGCCCGCTGGGCCCCGTCGCGCCTCCTAGGCCCCGTCGCGCCCCCCCCTGGGCCCCTTCGCGCCCGCTAGGCCCCCGTCGCGCCCCCTGGGCCCCTTCCCACCCGCTAGGCCCCCGTCGCGCCCCCCTGGGCCCCTTCGCGCTCGCTAGGCCCCGTCGCGCCCCCTGGGCCCCTTCGCGGTCCGCTATGCCCCCGTCGCGCCCGCTGGGCCCCGACGCGCCTCCTAGGCCCCGTCGCGCCCCCCCTGGGCCCCTTCGCGCCCGCTAGGCCCCCGTCGCGCCCCCTGGGCCCCTTCGCGCTCGCTAGGCCCCGTCGCGCCCCCCTGGGCCCCTTTGCGCCCGCTCGGCCCCCGTCGCGCCCGCTGGGCCCCGTCGCGCCTCCTAGGCCCCGTCGCGCCCCCCCCTGGGCCCCTTCGCGCCCGCTAGGCCCCCATCGCGCCCCCTGGGCCCCTTCGCGCTCGCTAGGCCCCGTCGCGCCCCCTCTGGGCCCCTTCGCGCCCGCTCAGCCCCCCCCGTCACGCCCGCTGGGCCCCGTCGCGCCTCCTGGGCCCCCTTCGCTCCCGCTAGGGCCCCCCGTCGCGCCCGCTAGGGCCCCCGTCGCGCCCGCGCGGCCTCTCCCAGCGCTACCGCCGCCCGGCCCCTCTCCTAGAGCCGCCCGGCCTCCTCCTAGTGCCGCCCGGCCTCCTCCTCGTGCCACCCAGCCCCTTTCCTAGCGCCACCCGGCCTCCTCCTAGCGCTGTCCGGCCTCCTCCTCGTGCCGCCCGGCCTCTTCCTAGCGCCGCCCGGCCTCTCCCTAACGCTGCCCGGTCCCCCCTCATGCCCGCTGGCCCCAGCAGCACCCGCCCGGCCCCTCCCAGCACTCGCCCGGCCCCAGAGCGCCCGCCCGCCTTCTAGCACCCGCCCGGCCTGTCGCGCCTGCCCGCCTCCCAGCGCCGGCCCAGCCCCTCTCACTGCACGCCCGCCCGTCCTTGTGCCTGCTCGGCCTGCCGTGTCCTCTCGGGCCCGGTGTCTTCTGCTCACCGGCGCTGGGGCGCCTCGCAGCTGCTCTACTGGAGGGGGTGCCGCCGTGTCCCCGCGCCGCTGTGTTCCTGCGGTGCTGAGGAGCTGTGCCGCTGTGTTGCTGAGGAGCTGTGCCGCTGACCCTGCACGATGGCTGACTTCGTGCTCCGACTGGACGCTGAGGGCCACGCGGTTCACTTCGCCGCCTGGCTCTCCGATCTCCGCCGCCAGCTTACAGGTCAGCGCCAGGATGGCCACTCTCTAGTGGTCCATGATGATGGCTTGCTCCCCCGCCCCCCCTGCCCCTACTCCCCTCCCTGCTGACCCCTCCTCTGATGACCGTGAGGCTTTCTCTACTGCTGCGCTGGCCTGTGCGGTCAGGGACTCACACGATGCAGTAGCTCAGGTTGCTATTAGGCATGCCCTCCCTATGTCTGAGCGCTCGCGCTTTGCTACTGTTGAGACAGCCAAAGCCTATTTAGACGCCGTTATTGCTCGCTATTCCACCCCTGCCTCCGCTTCTGCTGGCCGCTTGCTCTTTCCGATGCTGTTCCCAGACCTTGCTGCCTTCCCTACTGTCGCAGACTTTGCCACTCACTTGCGTGCCCTAAAGACTCGCTATCGCACTGCCAGCACTGCTGCCCAGCTCACTGCCCTCCCCCCTCCTTTCTGCATGATGCTCTATTTTATTGCCATGCGCCTGCCGGACCGCCTCGCTAGTGCTCGCGACCACTTCCTTAGCCAGCACCCAGGTGAACTCACCTTGACCGCCTTTGTCGACACCCTCATTGAGATCGAGACTCGCCAGCGCACTATCGCTCAGTCGAGCGGTGCGCCGGCAGTCTCTATCTTTCACGGCTGTGCACCCTCCCAGTGCACGTTCACTGACGTTTCGGCTGCGGTCGCCACTGCGACCCCTCTTACCGAGACGTCTGCTGCAGTCCACCCGCAGCAGCGCTCGCGCCGCAGTGGCCGTGGCCGCCAGGGAGATAGGGGTGGTGGCGCAGGTGGTGGTGGTGACGGTAGTCCGCCTGAGGGGACTACCACCGGTGGGCAGGAGCAGCAGCCCCAGCCGCAGCAGGAGCAGCCCCAGCCACAGCCGCCGTCCCAGCAGCACCCGCTGCAGCCGTGGGCTCGTCTCCCGCCTGGTTGGCCCGGCGCCTCCGGAGGCAGTGGCCGTGGTGGCGGCCCGCGCAGCTTGGCATCTACCAGCGGCTCCGATGCTGTGACCTGCCAGTACCAGCTTCAAACCGGGCCTCTCCGCGTCACTCTAAGCCGCCGCCCGCACCTGACCGCCCGCTGTTTCCGCCGCCTCGACGATCTTTTTCGTCGTCGCTTTGGCCCGGCCCCGGACCTCCCTGACTGGCACAGCCTGCTCTGCCAGGGCGTGCCGATCTTTGAGTTAGACATGGATCAGATAGGTGCTGCATTGCATGCTTTGTATGCTAACGCTTCTAGTGTTGCTGGATCTTACTACCCTGTGTACTCTAGTTTAGGTGTTTCACCCTTGTGTAGCATAGCGTCCCCTGCTGCGTCAGGCGTAGGACTGCCTAGGTTGCCTAGCCTAGCTTCTGCACCGGCCCCGTCCCCGGCCTCTACCACTGCCTCACTGCCCTTCACTCTCGACTCCGGTGCTTCTGCCTATTTCTTCCGTGACCGGTCCACGCTCACGCCGCTTGCTGCACCTGCTGTTGTCTCCCTTGCTGACCCCTCTGCCGGTCCTGTTGCCCCTCGCAGTTCCACTTCCCTTCCCGGTCCAGCCGTTCCCTCGGGCTCTCTTACAGGCCTCCACGTTCCCTCGTTCTCCAGGAACCTGGTTGGTGTCGGCCGTCTTCAAGACCTCGGCGTCACCACCACGTTCCCCAGGTATGAGCGGTTCGATGTCTGTACCGAGGCAGTCTCAGGTTCCCCTCTTGCGACGTTCCCCCGGAACCCGGTGTCTGGTCTGTTTACCCTCGACACCGCTTCCCCCCCGGTTGGTGCGTCCTCCCAGGTCGTTGCAGCTTGCTCGTGTTGGTCCCTCACTCACCCGTCCCTTTTGTGGAACCACCGTCTAGGTCACCCTGCACTCCCGCGTCTGCGTCACATGTCCCAGCACGGTCTTGTCTTAGGCCTCCCCGCGTCGCTCCCCGCCCTTTCCCTCTCGCCTGCTCCACCGTGAACGCCCTACGTCGAGGGCCGGCTCCGCCGTGCCCCTCACTCCTCCTCGCTTCGCCCTGCTACTGCTCCCCTTCAGACCCTGCACCTGGACGTTTGGGGCCCAGCCCCCATCCCCGGACCGCGTGGCGAGCGCTACTTTCTTGTGCTTGTCGACGACTACACGCGCTACACCACGGTGTTTCCCCTGGAGCGGAAGGCCGACGTGCCTGACGTTCTTCTCCCGTGGGTTGTGGCTGCGCGTCTTCACTGCGGTCTCCCCGTGTTGTCTCTCCACTCTGATCGTGGCGGCGAGTTCGCTTCTGGTCGGCTTGGACAGTTCTGTCGTGCGGAGGGCATTACCCAATCGTACACCTTGCCGGACTCGCCACAGCAGAATGGGGTTGCTGAGCGCCGCATCGGCTTGGTCATGGAGGTAGCTCCTACCTCCATGATCCATGCCGGTGCACCCCATTTTCTGTGGCCGTTCGCCGTTTGCTACGCCGCTCGCCAGCTTAACCTGTGGCCACGCTCCCAGCGGCCCTCCTTTGGACCGGGTCCCCCGGTGACGCGTCTGCTTTCCACGTCTGGGGCTGCCTTGCTCACGTTCGTGCCTCTGGCACGGACAAGCTCACTGCCCGCACTGTCCCCTGTGTCTTCCTTGGTTTCCCCCTGGACTCGTCTGACTGACTCTTCTACCACCCGCAGTCTCACTGCTTCCTCCACTCTTGTGACGTCACCTTTGACGAGTCCGTCTCCTTCTACCGTCGCTTCCCTCACCGAGGTCTCCCGGTTTCCCCCCCCCTGTTCCTTGCCCCCTCTCCCCCGGTAGCCCCTCTGCCCCTCCCGCCGCGTCCTGCCCCGTCTGGTGTCTCCCATGTCACTCCCCTCCCGTCGGTTGTCCCTGTTGAGGAGTCTGCTGACTCTGGTGGTCCCCCCGCCCCGCCTTTGCCGCGTCCCCCTTCCCTGGTGTCTCCGCCCCCGCTGTCGCCGTCGCCGCCGCCGCCGCTGCCGCCGCCGTCGCAGCCGCCATCGCTGCCGCGGCCACCGCCGCCGCCACCGCCGCTGCCGCACTTGGCCTCTGGGGGTGCTGGCTCTGAGGAGGGTGTTCGTCCTGCGGCTCCTGGCGTCGTCTGTCCCGGCGGGGCTGGGGGTGCCGCTGGGGCTGGAGAGGGTTCTCGCTCTGGGGGTGTTGGTGCTGGGGGTGCTGCTGTTGAGTGTTCTCCCGGAGGTCGTCGTGCCCCTGCCGGTTCGAGGGTTGCGCACCAGCCGCCGCAACAGCCGCCGCAGTCGTCGCCGCCGGTCTCCGCTCTTCGCCTGCTCGGCCTTCCCTCCCCTGACCGCTCGCCGGTGTCTCCCCCACCTCCTCCTCACCTTCCTGTCTACGGCCCTGTGTTCCCGCCCCCGGACTCTTCTCCGGCCCGTCTTCCTCCCCGTTCCCCCCTTGTGT